ATAAAAATAATTGATCATTTTAAAGCAGGTATTATTCAGTGTTACTTACCTTCTCGTCAGGAAACAAGTCATGAGATCGGAAATTCACCAGATCAACAACTGATCCCATCAAGAATTTAAACGCTTTGGGGTACCGAGGAATCGACTGCAGCCACTCCTTGAACTCTGTCTTGAATGTTGGTGAATAAGCATCAGAGAGAATGGAGGCAATTTCTTGGCTTCCGCCCTGGGCCATTATTGATGTGGATGAAGTTTTCACCTGCTCACGCTGTTGGTACCCCTCTTCTTTGCTATATTTAGCTCCAACACTCGAGAAAAGACTCTTGTATTCCACCTCCATTTTCTCAGCAAACTGAGTCTTAGTTTCCTTCTGATCGGCCTGCTTTGTCTTTCTTATCTGAAGTTGTCCTCCGAACTTTGCCGATTTAATGTAATGCGTTCCCCAACGCTGAATGAAGTTTTCTGTCGTTGAAAATTAAATGCATAATCAGATTCGTGATTAAACTTAGATGTTGCTCTCATCTGTGCTTTGGATAATTAGAGTAATGAAATTACTCACTATAACTTATTGTGACTGGTTAGATTTTTCTTTTGTTTCAGACAAATTCCTACCATTGGTCTTCTCGTGCATGTTACAACAATAAACCTTTGTACAACTCACACTTAAGTATAAATCTTGTATCGAAAGAACTGAAAGATTTATGCATGAGACAAGTAAGGTATTGTATTCATTCAGAATATTATTCGGAAACCTTACTGGTTTTGGTCAAGGTAGCGTTGCGTACACTAAGCTTATACTAACATTCTAGTGGGGCAAAATACTCATTAGGCCATCCAAGAAGCACAAGACTCCGTGTTCTTACTATGAAAATTCCAGAAGGACGTTTTTTCAAGATTAAAACGACGTTGCTCATGTATGCAACACTACACAACACCCACATAACAGAGACGCATTGTGGTGATGACCTTACACTGACCAAAACGTATAACAAATGAAGACACACAAATAACAGTTGGCGCTTCACTATAAACAACAACACTTAGTAATTACCAGCAATATAAATTACTCAGTCTTAGAGTCTCCAAAACACAATGGAGGTCAAAGTGTCGGGAGCTTTCCAGTGATATTACTAAAACTAGCGACCCTTCCCCTCCCACCCCGAACAAAATTGAATTTTGAGCAAAGTGGGTGGAAATGAGCGCTAATGTTAAGCCACAACATTGCTGGGGGGAGGAGTGGGGGGACGACGAGATGAACCCAAAGCCGAACAAAATATTGTCGTTAGGAGCAGTGTTGCGACCTTTTCCATTGATATTACTAAAACTAGCTACCCTCCGGTCCCCTCCGACGCCAAACAAAGTTGAATTTTGCGCAAAATGGGTGGAAATGAGTGCTTTTTATACAAAAATACTGCTGGGAGTTGGGGACGACGAGATGAACCCAAAGCTGAACAAAAAATTGTCGTTGGGAGCAGTGTTGGGACCCTTTCAAGTGATATTACTTAAAAAGGTACCCGTCCGGTCCCCTCCCACCCCAAACAAAGTTGAATTTTGCGCAAAATGGGTGGAAATGAGTGCTTTTTTTACCACAACATTGCTGGGGGGAGTTGAGGGACGACGGGATGAACCCAAAGCCGAACAAGAAATGGTTATTAGGAGCAGGCTTCTACGTTACAATTACTTGGAAGGGCTTTTTCACACAGCCCTAAGTTCTTCTGTCCTCCACTGCAGTTTCCCACATCTTAGGAGTATTATAACCAGTATATGTATACGGACGAAGATTCCCATGCGAATTGATCGCGACACATTGGTAAGCTCGAGAAGGGGGTGAATACCAGTAAACGAGTTGCCAACATGGATCTTAGTATGTCTTGATTTTAATAGCTTACAATGGAAGGTACTCTAGTTCTTCTGGAAGGTCACTGAAATTATAAAAAATCACTGTGACATTTTTCTACTCACGATATTTCAGTGGTGCTCCAGGCTCAAAATAGGAATTTGGTAAATTCATAAATTCACGGAGGAAAGACAAACTTAAATCCTGTGGTTTTACCTCGTCCATGAAAATTTCATACCTGAAAATAGAACAAACATTAATAAAGAAGGCGCTCCGATTACCAGAGGTACTTCACTATCTCTCAGGTATTCATAATTTGGCGATGCATTTTATTTTCAGTGTCTATTGCATAGGAGCTTATTTTTCACACTATTTATTATATGTATTGGCCATAAAAAAACTAGTTCAAACAATCTTCTGAAAAATGTCGTGATTTTCAATTTGACACAATCCGGATTTGTCTCTCTCATAGACAGTCTTCTCCGCCGGTATAAGCCGTTGGACCATAAACAGGTTATGATTGACACTACTGGTTGCACGACAGAATAAATCTTTACCGGAAAGAATAACTACAAGTCATTTAAAGTTGTTTAAAGTCACAATCAGATTTCTTCCGTTTGAAAAAAGGGATTGTTTCTGTAAAACTTAATTTAAGGCAATGAACAGCACTTTTATTTTTTGGTCTGTTTTCTTATAAGAGAATCTTGGTAAATTTTTACATCCTTTTAAGATGATGTTTTCTTAATAAGCTTTAATATTAATTTTAAAATTGTTCCAAAGTCGAGAGGGGCGTAAGGGGGGCACAAATGCTGCAAAACTGCACAGAATTACGTATAAACACCGCGCAGAATACAGAGATTACGATCCACGCTTACGCCAAACGACAGACGTGAATCTGTACCACGTGACCAAGTTTTCCCCTTATTTTCCGTTTACTCTTTATTGCTTCTACACCAAATTAAGTAGTTTTACGCCAGTCTTAACCATAGGAATCGTTCGGGACTGTTTTTATCTGCTTATATTCTATTCTAAAGACTTCTCAACTTGAGTCTGACGTTTACCGTTTGCAGTAAACGTGAATCTTAATCTCTCTCTAATAACATAAGAAAACCGCAAACCGCATTGAAACTATCTGAAAATTTCTAAATACCGCAAGCCGCTTGGTTTTGTAAAACCGCAATACCGCATCTAAAAAATAAAAAAAAAATTTCCGCAAAACCGCACCAAAAATCGAGCAAGAGTGCTGCACCTCAAACCTAATACGCGCGCCTCAACAATCCGAATCCCATCGCCTTTACGTTGAAAAATTCCATTTGACTTACCTATCGACGTCGACATACAGAACAGACAGAAATGTCTGACTCGCTCCAGACGAAGAGCTTCCATAAGCCTCCTTCACACCGGCGTAGAACCCAAAAATTGAACCAGAGACACCTGCTTCCTGCTGGATGTATCTTCGATATTCCGACCGACTCTCAAAAGTCAACATGTAGGCAGAGGTATCGTAAACACCATGTACGTTCATTGTGTCTGGTACATCCAAATCATCATATCTGCCAAAGGGGAGTTAAGACAATTATAGTTTAAAATCCTCGAAGATTTGTTAATCTTAATTAAATTTTATTTGTCTAAAGTTTTATTATAATGGTATGTAACGCACGCTGCTTGATGAAAACCAACATTTCCTCGTCGAGAAAATCTTACTAGAAAAGCATAGGGTAGTTAAAATAAGAATACGTAGCATCTCTCTTATGGCGTTTAAACTCTGCAAAGTGAGTTAACTAGATACCGGTTAATTTGGGCATCATTAATTGCAAGCTCTGACCATTTAGTTACAGGGGAAGGGTCAAAATTTAGCGACGTCCACTGTGACAGTACGTGTTGCAAATAGACGCTTCGTGATAAGACTGATAAGGAATTGGAGATCGAAAATAGGAATGCGGGCTTTGAAACATACATACATACATACATAAACTTTATTAAAGTGGCAAGGTATTTAGCTAAAAGCTAATTGTGGACACTATAAATGAAAAGCAAAACACCTCTAAAGAATATACTTACGATGCTTTGTTCTTGCAGTTTCTTTGTACTATACTCATTTTTCTGGATTCTGGACTGTATTTTCCTCGACCATCAAACCCAACTCCCATAAAAGCGGCTCCATCAATCATGTTCTGGGTACAGTAAACAGTTTTACAAGACTAGTTACATTTTCCTCTGAACTATAGCAGTACTGTCAAATTAGGTGTTAACTAAGCTGCCAAATAATTTTTCTCTTGGGGCTTATGGAAACTTTCTTTTCTACTTTTCGTTAACCTCCCTTACGCGGATTTTCTTCCAGCGTACACTTCTTCAAAGTCTTTAGGTTGTTAGCCTTCCACACAGACGTTATTACGGTTCGAGAAGCCCTAAGAAAGTCTAAGTGGAAGGCAACAATTTTGTCCGCTTATGAGAGGTTAAAACTTGGCACTGGCAATTCAGACTGTAGTTAAAATCGTGTTTTCTCTTACAAGGCAGATAGGTGAAGCAAACTTGGCGTTATAGCATGGATCACTTGGAGTATAATTGGTGCCATAGCAACCGTTCATCATGACGTATCCCAAACCCATGTTAGGAGCGTAAGTAAACGGCTGTTCTCTATGTTCCGGCTCTGGGTGATCTACGTCGGAGATTGACGCACCCATGTGGTATCCCGGGGGTACGAACATATCGGGGGTGCTCCATCCTTTATCAGGCATAATATCCAGTTTGATCTGTGAATGAATAGTGGTATCGTCAGTGATAGAAGTTCACACGGTAATAATTCAGCCAAGACTAAAAGCGGAGCTCCAGTTCAATAAATACTCTCGGTTTACTTCAAACAATAAACTTATCATGTAGCTAGTGTTTAATTAGCATGAAAGAGCAGGGATGATTTTCGGCTCTGTTTCACACGCCAAAAAACAGGGCCTTCCTCAGCTTGTCAAACCTGAAAAGCCGGACGTTTACCATACGGTCACATAACAACCATGATCCTCGGAAAGATGAATGATTGATTTTAAACTATATTTTATCTCTGACTGGTCCTCAGTCGTCTTCGCACACGTAACACGCACGGTGCGAGCTTTCTATTTTCCCATAACCCCCCGCCGCCACTAAGGAGAGGCTGTGATAGACGACTAGTAACGAGTTAGATTTTATCCTGGTGCTGTATATATTGTACTCATGTATGTCTTTAATAGACTGATAACGCCTGTAAAATTAATTACCCGATAAGGATCGTCACAGGCATTGCCCGAAGGAAATAGCGTTAAAAATATTTCCTAGTATATAATTAAAATACAATTAAGGCAAAAATATAGACAATACAAAAATAATCAGAGCGAACAAAACAGGTATTTCGGATACCTGGTAAAGCGGACATATCAAACAAAGTTTTAACTTTAAATTTATTTTATTTGCCAAAATCTTTCTTATCTTATTTTGTTTTGTAGCAGAAGTCAATAAAATGAGTTTTCGTTAACACCGTCTGAGAGAGATTTAAAGGTCAAATAAACCAAAAAATTGAAATATTTTCTTTTGTCGAATTACCTTCACCAAACGCTAAAAGGAACCATCCTAAGTGAGATTTTTCTTTGCAAGCCTTTATAGAAAGATAAAAGATCAAAATCCGATCAAGCATTAACGAAGACTTCTCGAAAACGTTTCTGTGTCGTTCTAACTCTGTTAGAGTTCTGACTGAGACTGAATGAAATACACGAGGTGCGAACGTTTGCTCCTTGTAAAGCCTTTTTATTTGTTTTTGTTGTTGTTATTGTTGTTGTTGTTGCTGTTTTCTCGTCACTTGAAAATTACTTTGGATTCAGAAGAACCAAGTTACAGTAAAAACGGATCATTACGTCAGTCTGAGGTGCAGTATGACGTTTTGAACATTTCCAAAGAGGTTTGTATTCTTCTGATGATTGTGCATTCGATTTGTAGGTTGATTTTGTGTCCAGTGCTTCGCTTTCTTTCGCCGGGCTGAATTAAAACTCGCTTGTATTCTGTTATTAGTTGTTACGTTTACTTTTTTTACATGCGCAGACTTGTTTACCTAGTTTGCAGAGAACCAGCTTTATCCTTGTTTTCTGTCAAAGAACCGTAATGCTAACGCATGCGAGTGAACAAACTTGTGCGCTTAAAACTTTCTTGTAACTATAGAAGGGCAGCAAGCCTACTCGAGAAGAAAAGACTACTTCGATCATTTTTCTGTTGCTCAAGTAATAATAAACAGAGTTTTTTTTTTCCTTTTTACATTTTTAATTACATAGTTTCGTTTTCTTTTTGTACGCAAATTTTCCCTTTCATTTGCTGTGAAGTAGCTGACCACGACAGCTGCCGGCAGTGATTTCAAAACAGTTGTCTCTTTGCCCGTAAACAGTTGCTGGAGCTTGATTTGAATGAAGCGAGCAAAGTTCTACTTCACTTAAGCTGTATTTTTTGCATGATGGAATTGTTCCCTGCTTGCGCACTTCTTTGCGCACTTACATGTAAAGTGGCGTCTATGGTCCTTGAAGTGACCTAAGTCGGTAATTAAATCATAAACATAACTGAAAAATATCAACGCCAAAACTACTACATTGAGGATTTTGTTTATATTTTAGTGATATGCGAAGCTACAAGTGTCCGATCGAGCGTCGGTTTTAAAACATCAGCTCGAGTGTGACATAGTTCCATGACTTCAAACATCTTGTGGGCAAGCGTGAATTTCTTTGGGCAAATCACTATACAAATAACCGCGGCAGTGTTAGCTCAGTCGGTAGAGCGTGTTGACTGCAGAGCGGGAGGTCAAGGGTTCGATTCCTGGGGCCGGACCAATACTCAGGGTCCTAAAATAACCGAGAAATGAAGGAACTCCTTTTGAACTGCAACAGGCTAGACCTTCGCGTGGCTCGGATGACCACGTAAAATGGCGGTCCCTTCTCCAGTTGGAGACGTAAAATATAGTGTCCTCAATTAGTACTTTCGTGCTAAATACATTGACACTCAAATAAGAAGTGCAAAAAAGTGCATTTTTTTTTGTTTTTGTGTCCACGGTGGAGCTCCGGACCTTACATATCCAGGACCTTACTTATATGACCACAATTTTTGAATGCATCTTGAACAAAATCGGACCTACTCACGCACATTTAGAGTACAAAGCAAGGAGATTTTTAATATCATCTAAGTCCGTTTTACTTTGACGTATTCTTCGAGAAAATTAAATGATAAGAAGGTTATAGCCACAGCTCGCAACTTTCGAAGGCAAAGTGCTTGTTCTTTCCAGTTATGGGCGCACAACCAACCATAATTTCTGCGCCGTATCGACTCGAAAAACACTGTTTCGAATTTCCCGCTTTTTTTCACCTGACCAACATTGACGCCACAAGCTGTTTTAGCCGACAATTTTTCCGACCGCTCTACGAAGGTAACGACCAAAAAATAGCAATTTTTAATCTCGAATATCTCGGAGATGCTTGCTTCGATTGAGCTGAAACTTTATGTATGTATATTTGGTTACACATTTCACTAGAGTTGAACTAAAATAAAAAATGTCGAAATCAAGTTTGGTTCTTTTGCCCTTTAATCTATCCTCACAAGATCCCCACCACCCACCTCTTTCGCCAAGAACTTGGAAGCCTTTTCTTGAGCTTCGTCGATTATATTGAGCTGTTTGTCCACCAGTTTGCCCATAACTTCCAATCCTTTATCAACAACAGCTTCCTGAACTTTGGGGTTTTTCAACGCCGTCATTGCTAGAGCAGGAAGCGCTTTCTTATCCCCCGTTTCTGTTTGGCCTGTAAGCATACAAGTTTATAATAATCAAACTTCCACGATAGTGTTTGTTCTTATGGGAAAATTTCTTAATCGTAACGTTAGCCTTAACAATTAACTTCTGACCTTCAGTTCAGTCAAACGCTTTGTTTTAACACCAGGCGTTAGACGTTACGCTTTACGTTAATTTTTGTTGGCCGAACCTGGGTTCACTTTAAGAAACCTTTCATAAGTGTAGTTTACAAGGGCAGCTATTGTTTTCGGACTCTAAAACAATAGCTACACTTGTAACTAATACACTTGTAAAAGTTTTATGAAATTGACTCCTGGACTTTCTTGAAAAGCGACACAAGGAAAAGTACTAAGGGGAAGTTAAGTACGCTTCACCAAGAAGACTAGAAATAAATCAGACAAAAAAAAATAGAATGAATCTATTAAATGAATTTGTAAGGCATGGAGTGTTCCCGCATGATCGGTCACATTGGCCATATTGATGTACCAAAACATAAAAAGAAAGCAGCCATATTGATGATTCAGAACCAATCCAATCCGTGGGAGATGAAGAAAAACCTTATTCACTTGGTAAAATAATAATGCCAATACGCGCCACTACGGAAAATGGGCGATTTTCATTAGTGGTTTGGCAGTTTCTTCCGTACCGTCGTCCAACTCATCCCCTACTTCCTTGACATCTTGTTCTTGGAATCCACTCGAATCTACAGGTTTTTCCTCTCCTTGCAGAACTGTAGATTCACCTTTTCAGGAAAAAATGAAGATTATCTCAATGCCTGTTATTTTTTGTTCTTGTGAAAGGAGGGAGTAAAATGATACTAATGATACCACTGAAGTTCCATGACGTCACTTGTGTCACCTCCAAATACAAAACTGTAGAGCGCCGTTTTATGAGATACGATTTTCAAATTATTACATTTTTTTCGTTAAAGCCGTTTTTACCTTTTGCTAATACGAGATAAACTATTCATTCTACCACAGTTAATTTGAGATTTTTCGGCTGCTCGAAAAAAGAATGAGCCGTCTATATCCCGCACTGCTCAGCAGCGACTAGTGCTAATGGGTCACTGAAAACAGCCTTATAGTAACTTTATTTTTTGCCATCTGAACGATGTTTCTTGTGAGAAGCCCCTTCTGGCTTATTCAGAAGAAGAGGCCCGTACAAGACTTATGGCATCAGACATTACTGATGTTCTCTCTGCTATTTTGTTTTTGTTTCAGCCGCTAATTTTTATATTTGTTCCACTGTTTTCTTTTTGTAATCTGCTGTTTGTAAATAATAAGTTTGACTTCTTCTGTTTTTTGTTTACAGATTTCAAATCAGGAAGTATATTGCGTATCAGTTTATATATATTGCTTTTTTATTGCATGGTCAGTCTTCTTCTCAGTAAATATTAGCCCCATTTGGTATTCGATTTTATTTTTTTGGCCTAAATTTCTAACTTCAAGACGATTTACAAAGAAGTATTTAAAATTTTATTTGAAAACAGTTCCACTCTGTGGCCACCGGGAAGCTCAGCAGGTCCTGTCCTGCTTCAAGTCAATTTAAACAATCGGGCCAACCAAGGCAAAACTTGCAAAATGACCAATTGAAAATATTTTTTTTCTAATGCTTCGAAAATGTGAAAACATGTTAACACTGTTCCCTTTGAATCTTAATTTTTTTTCCAAAGGTTATTTATAATGAACCTTTTTTCTACAGAACGTACCAGAACTTATAGATTTGCTGAAGGAAAACCAAACAGACGTTTTTTAAACCACCTCTTCCTCAAATATCCATGTGTGGCTTATAGAAACCTCTAGTTTGCCTTTTCATTGATAAATGTCATTAGCTTTATTTATTTGCTTATTGGACGAAGGAATTATGAATGAAACGGAAAACACACCTTCTTTAATTCACGCTGGTGAAGAAGATTGAATCTTTCAAATTAAAACCAAAACATTTAGTTTCTTGGATGGTATACTAAATAACAATAATCATTCACTTCTCTGCAGGACCTGTTGTCAGTGATTGAGCCAAACTGTTTAACCAACTTATATCAGTTAAATATTACATTACTCTTCGGTTCAGAAACTCGTTTCTTTCTTAACCAAACGCCGCCTTTTTTTTTTTCTTAAGTCCTTCTTTCATTTTTTTATTCTTCACTACTTTTGAGGCTCATTCAAGGTGGACGGTCCTTTGATTGATTTTAGATACTCAAGTACTTGAAAAAGAAATAATAACGCGGTCATGGTTTCATCTGTCTTCATTTTGTGTCATTTTATGTCAGTATTTTTTAAATCAAGGGTTGTTTTAGAAGGTAAAATGCTTTAACTCACTGTAAAACTGCGGTATGTAAACGGAAACAAACAAGAGAAATGTAAAAGTCTTCATTTCTTTTGCTTTACAACCAGACAACCTGGAAAAAAAAAACGGTAAGAAAGGGTAAAGACAGTAGAATTTCCATTATATCAGCCCCCGGGTATCTCATTTAGGACGTTATCAAGTATTTAAATCCAGGCCACTGTAGTAAAACATAGGAACGTTTTATCCTTTTTTATATTGCAGTTGTCTAGTCTGATCTCAAAACTTTTTTCTCTTTCACGGGGTCTACTGCTTCAAACTCTTGTTCCAGTCCCGAAAAATAAAAAGGAAATTAATTAGAAACGCCACTCAATTACTACTCAACAGCGCTGTTTTTGAAAAAAATGAAAAAAGGGGGGAAAATCAAAGTCAACTCGAAAATGTCCAATAATCAAACGCGCTTCTGATTTGAAGAAGAAAAGGGTTCAACTACGTATTTCTACTTTTAGAGAGAATTTAAAGAAAAATTAAGATAGTAGCTATTAAGTAAACCCTTACCTTCGTGATTCAAATAAGTCTCCAAGCTTTTACCAGAATGGATTTGGAAAGAATAGAGGAAGCTTCATGTTGTCGAAAAATATGATTACTTATTAATAACAATGAGAGATTACAATGCATTGATCATGGGCTACCGATCAATTACTAGCAGATTGTAATCTTGACAGTTTGTCCTTATTCAGTACTTTTTTAGAGCTTAATTCAACGCACCAACCGAAAAATGTCAATTGAATGAATCTGTTCTTCTATTTGTAACTGTTCTTGGAGAAATCTATTTATGGACGTTTTCAGAGTTTGCTGTATTCCCAACTTATTGAGGCAATTCAAATTTCTATCCCTTGTTAGGAACGGCTTCGGGAAAGAAATACCAGATCGAATGGAGGAAATGAAAGCAGCTCTCAGCTTGTCTCAACATTTGCCATGACGCCAAAAGATTGTGATTTTTTCCTCGTTTAGACTTCTGAAGTTTATTATGTATGTGGTAGGAGCTGATTATATGTGGCTAAAATGGTTTTACATTTAGCATGACCTAAGGACCGTTTTCCGTCGCTCTCTCCTGAAAAAGAATTTGGTCTTCCAACAGACTTCGATTCAATCGAAAACCCACACAGGAGTTATACCTGTTAGTCTCCACTCCTGTTCCTGCGTATATTATTAAACTTCAGAGTTGCTTACAACTACCACATCAAAACGTCTCAAGAGAGCTGCCATTCGCTATAACTTCTGAGAACCGCGATGCTATGATCGGACTCAGATTTTCTTAATTGCTCCTGACTTTAATTTCTGTTTAGGTATTACTAATCATATATCGTAAATTAGGCTGTGCATAGCCGGTCAGCCTTCAGTAGGGTGTGTTCTTAATATACTGGCGTCCACTTTGATAACAGGCAACTCTACCAGTAGAACAATCACTCAGTGGTGACTGTCTGCCTCAGCCTTTCTTTGAGAAAAATTTTTAACTAAATGTAAACAGTCAGTTTCTTCATTCAATCATAGTCCTGTACTAAACTAAAAATGTACTTTGCATTTTTCTTTTTTCCTAATATTTAGCTGACCCCACGCCATCAATCTTCGGCTTCGAAGGGTAGAGGTTTCTGGTAAATAAATAATAACAATAAAATAATTATAAAGCAACGACGACGTTAACAACTACGAAACCGTAACTTGAAAAGTGAATTCACGCTGCCTTGTGCTTTATCGCGCTCAGATTCCGTTGCGTTCAATTCGTCAAATATTGGCAAATGTTTCTGGACTTGAATTTTAAAGGACTGTATCGAAGTTCAGGAAAAGAAAAAAAAGAAAGTTGTTTCTTTTGTTCACGATCTCCACAAAACGTCAAATAAGGCTTTCACGTCTATTGACCACTCCAGAACTGATACCATAACATACCATAATGTTCTTTGTTTGTCACCCCAAAATTTTGCAAAAAACATTTTCTTCAGTTTCTCGTGGGAGTTAAAATGGCCCCAAGAGAAACTGAAAACAATGCTTATGAAAAAATTGTGGGGTGACAAACAAAGAACATAATGGTATGTTATGGTATTTTCTGGAGTGGCCAATTCGTGCAGTGACGACAAAGAAATGTAAAAAAAAAGCGTGATGCTGCTGTTTTACCAATTAATCTAAAACATTAATTGTTTTTTTGCCGCTTTCGTTGCCGTCGCCTTCGTCGTTGCTTAAGCTCCCTAATGTTTACTCTGGCATACGGCCTTTACTTTATTTTGTTCCTAAGACACGATTTCACGAAAAGGTCACGTGCTCACCGGGTCAGCGGTTTTAGCACCCAGACTAGCAGCATCTGCGACAGAACTTTAGCGTAACGTCCGGCGTAACGTGTAACTAAGGTGAAACTTTTTACTTGAACAGCCATGTTATTCTGGGAACATTTACTTCTCCAGCTGAGAATCCTATAAAAGTTAAAGTTCAGAGGAAGTGTGGTTAATGCGTTATAAACCGCGTTTTACGCGCATAAGTTGGCATATTTTTTCACACGAGTGTGTTTTCAGGAAATACTGTAAAATTGCCAGTTACATGTAACTTGTGAAAACATAGATAATATCGATTTTTATTATATACCTACTGACTTACTCACTGAAAAGTTCATACGCAAATGATTTCTAGCCAATAAGAGGAGGGAACTATGTGTTTCAGACGTGAAAAAAGTGATTCGTCCAATCAGAATTGTAAACGATATTATTTTACGTGTGACAAAAATGATACGTCTGATCAAAAGCCACAGAGGTGTGTGAGTTTCGGCCCAAAATTCCCGCCTTTGTAGGCGCTTGTAGCTTGCAATTTGCAGCGCCCTCGCTTTAAATTTCCGAGTTTCCTCGCAGACATTCAGCGAGAAAAGACTACAAAGCAGAGTTTCGCTCCCAGTTTTTCTCGCAAAAAAGTGAAACTCGTAAATTGGAGCTGGACAGTTTCGTAATGTTTCACTGTCGATGAAGAAAATTGTGGAGTGCCGGCAAAACAATAGCCGATGGGGAACAGAACGAGAAATCTAAAGCATATTTCAAGCTGAACCTGGAGCAATTTTGTCTACTGTTTATATTCAAACTGTCCCTTTTCCCGAAATTCAATCATTTTTAATTGTACATTGAGAGCAAGAGTTAATTCACATGGTTTGTTATTCGTGGATTACCGCCGTCCTTGCCCTCTTGTAACTTTTATAAGAGGTTTTTAGTGATATATTACGTTTTTGTCGTCATTTTGCTGTGCATGGTGGTAAATTTTAGCATTTTAGCGTTTTGGAAAGTTTTGAAATAAAAAGAGTAGCAGTATGATGAATTGTCTCACAGTTGAACCTAACTGGAAAATGCTTTGTATGGTATTTACACACGCACTCGTTGATTTTGTATCAGAAATCTTAATCGTTCGCTGCGCTCGGTCCATTTCTGATACGTCAACAACACGTGGGTAAATACCGAAGGCGAGCACTTTGTATGAAGTATTTTATATAGCCCTAAGGTTATCGATAGTGAGGAACTAATCACTCGCGTTGCCCGCTGAAATTGCTCAAACTGCAATAGAGAGAAGAGAGCAAAGAATCGTAAATTAAAACTGATGAAACAACGGTTATGTTGGCAATCAGCGATGCTCTATGATAAAATTTGATTAACGATGTGGGCACACTGTGCTAACACCAAAACACCCGGAAGCGTTTGAACCAAGTATCTAGTTAGAGTGCACGAGAAGGTCAGGCGTGCTATAGCCTCCTTGCCAGGTGCGAAAACGGGTGTTACTTCCGCCTTTTTCCTTCATTCCCCACCCCTTGGTATTACTCTGCACTTCTAATTACCTAAGAGCGGAATAATCAGTCCCTCGACCGTGATTACATAAATGCAGTTATTGTACCAACCCAAGTTCTCGGCATTCATTGTATTAAGGTAAACATTTTTTGAAGTTCCCACTCATGTCATTAACGCAAAAGCGTGGTATGAATGTGGGGGAGGCGGTACAGTCCTAGGTGAACTGAGTAACCATGAGTTTAATGACACGCATAAGGGGAAATCAATTTAGGAGAAAAATTGTGGGCTGATTGCTTACTTACGGTAAACCGTTTTCGACGGAAAATCGTATAATAAATGAAAAGAGTAAACAAACTCAACAAGCTATTCTTCATACTTGGAACAATCTGGACTTTAATGCAGGATACAATTGCTACGGGAAAGATTGCAGCTATTCCAGGCTAATTCATGAGACTAAAAGTCTTATCGGTTCATAATTCTTTATTATTTAAATATGCTGTTCCAATATTTGCCTAAATTTCAATTTTCTCACAGATTAAAGCCATGAATATTTCAAAGATGGATCATTTAAAAATAAGTGTCATGCACTGCGCAATGCGTATCATGGAGGAAGAGTAAACTTAGTTGGATCCCTTCCAAAAACATTCTTATCTTCCAGCGCTTCAAAGCCGTAAATAATAAAAATACTATGATCATTCACTTTCTACTTGAGGCACGTACTACTATACTGGTACTAATGGTATATCACTTTAGCAAGGTTAAAGGCCATTTCGGTTACAATTACAAAAACAGAAACGTTTCTCATCTTCTATATTTTATTGAGTGCTTTGGTAGGTGGGTATAAGATGCCACAGGAAGATCTCGGCGAGCGTGAGAAGATTCTGAATCACCCCTTGTACTTCCTGATGGCGCCTTACAATTAGAAGGTTTGGTGTACCAAGACACCTTTGATTCGTCGTACATATTCGCCCATGACACCAAGTTGCCTATCCCAGCGTTGCAACTTTGGGAGTACTGTGTAATATCAGCGCTGGTAAGAAGCCGATTCCATACATTCACTTGTGACAAATAAAGCGTGTTGGTACCGATGAATCCCTGATTGCCTGGTCCAAGGCTTATGTCGAACTTTGTAGGTGCTTTGCCATAGGAAAGAGTGCCGGTTGCTCCTGCCTTTCCGTCAACGAAAATTTTGACTTCACTTGTTTTGGTAGACCACAAGTGACACACATGATGCCAATTCTTGTCGGCAAGTACACCCATGCTCTGTCTGTAAATAACAAAAGGGATTATTGTAAATTACTTTGAAATCAGTTCATTTATTGGCGTCACTAGTATGCAATGAAGGCCGATGCACCTTAAGCTTCTGCTGTAAATTGCACAAGCTCTATTCATTGGAACGGTAGTATTTGTCGGTCTTATGGGCTAAACGATGAGGTTCTAAGTATGACCTGTCTGTACTGTTTCTATTCGAAAGGTCTTTGATAATCTTTGCACAACTTAATTCGGGAAATTCAGGTTAATTCGCACTGATTGATATGGTTTTTCAAGAAATATGATTGGTTCGCTTTCTCGGAATATCAAACATTAATAAATGCTGAATCCCTGAATTTTCATTGGCCTAGCGAGCCATTATATCAAATCCAAATATGGTTAGTGTACGTACGCGTTAGCCAATAAGGTCAGAAGTGAACTGAAGGATTTGTTTGCTGAAAAAAGAATAGCGTCCGAGGAAAACAGTAAATGTTTACATAAATGGCAATGCAATAAATAAATGTCCAGCAAATGGACAATTGCCTGATGAAAAAGAATATCAGTACACGGTCAAAACGACTCAATCAATAACAAATTGACTACACATTCTACTATGAAACGAATGTCTTTCATTAGGGAGCTTAAGCAACTACGACGACGACCACAACGAGGACTTCCAATAAACAATAGGTTTAATGATCAAAACAACATCTCTGCACGTGCATCACGCTTTTTAGTACATTTCTTTGACGTCCACTGCACGACTACGACGTGAAACCTCCTAATTTCACGTTTTAAGGAGGAAGTGGACATACGACGACAAATTTTCCTTCTTCTTTTTGAACCTGAATAAAATCCTTAAGAATTCAACTCCAGGAAAAGTCGCTTGCATTTGACATATTGAGCGGGTCCAAATATGAAGCGATTAAGTTTGAAAGAATGCAAAGGTTTTCCCTGCCGTCGTCGTCGTCCTTGTTTAAGGTCCTTAGAATCCCAAAGAGAACGTCTTATCAGAGACTGAACACGGAAATTGATTCAAAATACTGTTTTCCGCGCGTGGGACGCATACTCCAATTGACAACGCCAATTATCGGTTGTACTTTGCCTTCAACCTCTTCTCAATTGGTACAGACATTGTCAAACGTCTTTGGGAAAAATGCGTAAAACAAGAGGACCAGTTGAGATTGGTTATTTTTACAAGACGTAAATTTACCTCGTCTTTGGCTTATAAAAATCACCCACTTCTAGTCTAATGTCAGTGATCTCGTCTCCTAACAAAGAGTAAGTCAGAGATTTGGGCAAGGAAGCACCACTGACAGTCATTGAAGTAAGAACCAGCTGCACGTCTGTGTTGGAACCTTGTACTCGAACCCAGTTTTCGATTTTCAGCCAGAAGCATAAGGTGTACTCTTCAAATGTTCCTGATCCCGGTTTATCTCCAATCCAAACACCTTTGGCGATGTTCAGATCATATGTACCTGTAAAGACGAAAATAAGTATCTTTATACCGTGGAATGTTGGCGCAATAATAAATAATGACGATAATGATAATACAATTATAAAATTGCCATTATAAACAGTGATACATACAAACTATACAGCAAGCAACTGGGATGAGGGCAAATGAGATTCCTTGGCTTTGCGTCCTTCTTAATACTTTGCGTAGAATCGGTATAAATAACGGGATGAATTAACTAACCCAATACACTTAACAGTTGACGTCTCTCATAAATATAACAACGACAATTCTCAGCAAACAAAAATGACCAAATATGGGCATTTTACTTTGGTTGCTTTTGGGAAGTTACAATTCGATTGTATTTATGTTCACATATTGCTTTAAAAAGTATCGTTATGGCACCTGGTTTTGGTTTGCACTTGGATGGCTCGGAAAACATCGCTTTCTTATTTCGGACATACATGTCTGCCCAAGAGGCCACATTGCCCGTTCCTGCGTCACATTTCTTGGACAATGTTTTTATTTCGTCGCTGGTGAAGATCCGATTCCAAACATTCACCTGCGAAAGTAAGAATTTGTTGCTGCCGATCGATGAACCCGAACGCGGGAAGGATATCTTGAACCCACTGGTAGCCCTGAATTGATAGCTTCCCGTCTTTTTCTGTATTCCATCCATGTAAATTGACCATGTAGATGTCTTACTGGACCAGGTATGGCAGACTTGATGCCAATTCTTGTCCTCAAGCGACGCAACGTATAATCTTCAAATGATCCAAAATATACGATATATGTTATTTATTTGCTAAATTTACTATGTTTATCATTTAAAGGTTCGAATGTTATAGAACACAGACAACCAATTCCCATCACCAGAAGACGTGATTTAGTTTAACAAGTTCACTGACATTTGGAAGTAGGCTGGTACCCAAGAAACATATTTTCGTCGGGACAACAAGAGCTAACTGTACATTTCTGCGTACTTCAAATTCGTTGTTAGTCACTGCTTCTCGTGAAAATGGAACTTGGAGATAGGACAATATCCCTAAATAATGAGAGGCTCTTTTCCGACAAAAAAAAATAGAGAATTCAGAGTAGCTCGGGTGTTGGGTGTTACTAAAACGGGGAACAGGGAGCGGGAAACGAGCACGGGGAAGGGGGAAATAAAAAATGGGAACAAAACCTCACTTGAACCCTAGCCCTATCAGTAACTGAAAATTCTAATTATTTGTTTTGTTCCCATTTTTCATTTTCCAGTTCCCCGTGTTCGTTCTCCGCTCCCCGTACCTCGTTTCAGTAACATCCATTGTAGCCCTTATCTTATTGCCTGACAAGTCATCAATAATAATTATAATCTTGAAACTCACAGGTCATATAGAACGACAGTTAATCTCGAGAATCTCATTTTTTTTCTATCAGCGATTTCAAACTAATTCGCTTGTTTAAGAAGACCAAAATGTTTACAAAACTGCTGATAAGACTCGTGCCTCAATACATGCTAATCAAATCCTTCTCATTCATTCCAGCAATCTCCAGGATCTTTCACGTGACATGTTCTTAAAAAGGTTGAAGCTACTATGAGCGGAAATTGAATTTCAAAAGTGCTTCTTTTTTACAGATAACGGGCGATCATCAAAGATTGACCAGTTTTTACCGTATTTGTAACCATAACAACTTCATCCGGTCTCAAAAATTTTGCTTAGACTTTACGAAGCTGTTCTTCCGACGAGGGAAAGAGGGTAACTGTCGCGAACTAAGGTCTATGAGGCAAATGTAAAACTTTACATGAGACGTACCAAACTTAGTGAGCTAAGTTCATGAAAAGTTCGACTTCTGGCTCAGTTAAATTCGTCTGAATGAGTTTGGATCGTGTAACACGTTCTGCTTCAGACGAAAAGAACGTCTGTCGGTGAACATTGTCTTCGGGGCAAACGTTGATCTTCACATACGGCGAACTAAACTAACAAATTATAAATTTGTGTGGTAATGTATATTCAGTTTATTTTTCGTTATTAAGTTTGATCAAGTTCGTCCCTTCGCCTGCTTCGTTCCGCCTGAATCGCGTGAAAAAACCTTGGGAAATTAAAGGAAGTTAACTTTCGTTCCAGCTGGAGTTGATATATGTTTCCACACTTGTATTAACAGTTAATACTAACTAAGAAATCTATAAGCTTTGAAAATAACTTTGACAGCACGAATAAAATGTATAAAAGAAAGTATGGTACTTTTTCACATGTGAGCCTTGTAAGTGATTAGTATTGTACGAAAGAGATGATCAACTTACATCTCCCAAGTTTTGCGATTGTCCCAGTCGAATCTGAAAACAGTAGGTCCTCTTGACTGATATGCGATAGAGTAATCATCCCCGCTAACTGCTTTCATTTCAAGTTCTATTAATTCTGCTGATGTGTCATAACCACCGCTGTTTTCGACCCAGTTCTGCGTCAGTTGAAGCCAAAAACACAAAGTGTACTCTTCAGCTCCAGGTAGGACATTTTCGACCTGCACCAAATCATTGTTCTGTTCGATTTTAAAATCAAATGATTCTGTGAAAAGAAAAGGAAAAATGATCCAAAGTTTCTTAGCGCACCGCCACATGCGATGTTTAACTTAAAGGAAGATTCTATATCCAGGGTACTACACTGAACAAACATCTCCTACTGCGCTTCTCAATAACATGAAAACTCTGAAATTTAGAACGTAGCATAAAATTGCGTTCTTGGCTGCCATCAATCATAATTACGATCACGAGCAACAAGCCGTGAAAAACAGAGACACACAAAACGGATCTAAATCCACAAATGTCATCACATCTATTGAATATCAAAAGTATGATGGTCCAGTTTTGCTTGTTGGCGTGTGTGTAGACTCAATTTGGGCACTAAAATTGCTTCCTGTAGTCTGTTGCTACGCGATCACAATTAAAAATGGACATGGATTAAAACTTGACAAAATTGGGCTAATGTTTTCAGGTTTTGATCTGAAGCAAATTACTAAAAGAAAATCACAAATTTAAGCACTGTTAATTACAATGACTGTTTTCCTGCTGATATTTGTTTGTTTAAAAGTCACTACACCTCCACTACAGCATTTGGTGTACGGGTAAAGGTATTAAGTGATGACAGTAATCTTTTTGTGACTTTATCATTTTTATCACATTCTCTTTAGTAATAGGTATATTACTTTGATCTAACCTCCACGCGAAACAACCTCTCGAAAGACGCAATATTCCCAACACAAAAATCATTTCTTCCCAGCCAAAACACTACAGTTGAAGTGAATCATGTAACAACAAACACCTCTGTAAACGAAAACCAAATCTTGGCATTTTAATTGGTTGGTTGCATATGGAAATTTCTGCTAACTGTATTTTTGTTTTGAAAATATTTAAATACAATGATCAATTAGCACCTGGTGGCGGAGGGGGAGGAGTAGTTGGTTTTGTAGTTGGGGTGGTGGCTGTTGTGGTAGGAGAAGTTGTTGATGGTGTTGTCGGAGTAGTCGTTGGAATCTCTGCCTTCGCTTTGCACTTGGAAGGCTTGGAAAACATCGCTTTCTTTTTTGCGTCATACATTTCTACCCAAGAGGCGACATTGCCCACACCTGCGTTGCATTTTTCAGACAGTTTCTGTATTTCTTGGCTGGAGTAAAACTTATCCCAAACGTTCAATTGGGAGAGTAAAAATAAGTTAGAGCCAAGTTGACTATAATGTGGAAAGTATATCTCGAAACCACTGGCAACCCTGAAATCATAGAGACCCGTCCTTTCTTTGTTTCCATCTAGGTAAATTGCCCAAGCAGATGTCCTGCTAGACCAGGCGTGGCACAGCTGATGCCAATTCTTGTCTCCAAGCGACGCAAATTCAATGCTGCGGATGATCCAAAATATAATAAATAAATTGAGCATTTCCATCCCATTTTACTAAATTCATCATTTAAAGGTTCTAATATCATGGGTGACAAATTAATCCTCAATCTTGGCGCAAGCCTTCAGCGTCAATTTATAACTTCACAGGTGAAATTACAAAATTGCCATGGCAACGTTCCTTGCCTCTCAGCGTCAAATGGCGTCAACGATTCAAAAATTTATGAATGAAGATGTCAGGGCATTAAAAGACGCTTTAGAAATCTAAACACACAAAAGTGCAGACTAAGAAGAATTCTATCATGTATTTTGCGAAAAATTTGGAAAATTATGAACTGTAGCCAAACTCATCAAGCTATAAATTTTTCAGATCAACATGCTGAAACCCACGATTTTGAACCAATTTTTTTGTCACCCATGTTATTCTGATAGGAAATGGTGACGAGTGAAATTAGGGAATAATTTCACGCGAGTTTTGTCTAAATCCTAATAATTTTCCGACTCACCATTTGATTACACATGCCAATTTAATACATGTAACCTCACTTGTGGTAATAGTTAAACGATTCTATAAAATAAACAAATAATATGCTAAAAGTAAAGTCTATAAAAGTATTAGCGTGGTACTTTTCATTGATTTGAGTTTTCTAAGCATGAAAATTTCACAAAAAAGTGTCTTACTACACCCAAGGCCTCTGATTGTCCCAGTCGATTCTTAATGATGTAGGTCCTCTCGTCTGATATGCGATGGAGTAATCACTCCCGCTAACTGCTTTCATCCTAAGGTCTACAAAATCTGCAACCGTGTCCAAGCCATTGGTATTTCTGACCCAGTCCTTCGCCAATCGTACCCAAAAGCACATAGTATACTCTTCAGCGCCCGGTAAAACATTTCCATGCAGGAGTGAATTGCCTTGTTCAACTTTATAATCAAACGAGTCTGTTAAGAGAAATAAAACGTTTCTAGCAACTGCTTGCAAATGCTCACCACACCAGGACCTAAATAATTGAGAATGAAACTTAATGATGAAAAGAGCAGTTTTCATTCCTGACCAAGTCGGAAGAGCATAACAAATGGAATTTTTCCATGAACCAGTTTCTAAGGACAGACATCGATTTTCAAGGAGAGAATTGAATTGTACCTTCCCCACTAAAATTTCCAAAAACAGTTAAAGTGTCTAGTTTTTGCTCTGATCAAAGAGACGCCTAGACGTTTCCAACAAAAAGTATATTTTACTTTTAAATAGAGGGTGGTAAACTTTTAATTTAACTCGCCACGATAAAAGTTACTTTTTCTTTAAGGTAATTGTAAAGGGAGTAATTTGCCTTACGCACAAATGAAATCTTCTTTGTTATTTATAACAGCATTAATTTCTCTTGAAGTCGACAAGGGAGATGATCAGAAATGCACTGCAATTAAAAGCTCGCGAGCTTGGGTTGGTCCTTGAATTAATTTTCTCGCACACGCCTGTGTATTACTGGGGTTAACGACAGGAAAAAAAATGCATACTAGGGGCCCGTGTGAGCGGATCCTACCATGATAGGGATATTCCCAACATTACTGGATAGGACTAACTGGGCTAAGTGACCTTGTTGGACAGTGTTAACACAGTCGTTGGATTATGTGGAATCAGACTCAAAAAGGTCATGCAGTAAAACTTTCAAAGCCGCTTGAACATATCCAAAATATGCCGGCAAAGTTGGATTGATAAACCATGAGTGTTTCGCATTGAAGAAAGAGACAACACCATACCGACACAATCTTTATTCTTTTTCAGCGTCTTTGGTGCCAGGCATTCTTCCAAACATTGATTTTCATCAGGATCCTTTGCAAAACGGCACTTGTTACACTTCTTGTCATTGTTTTTCTCTGAGCAACCTGAAAAACAGCACTACACTTATTTTTTTTTTCAGCCAAAAAAAGACGAAATGGAAACAATCAACAAGAACAAGCATCAGCATGTAGCTGCTGATGAAAAGGCCGGCAAAATCTGACTAATGCAGTCACAAGAGGACTGGTGGGGACCATACCGAAGAAAAAAAAACTTGATTTTTATAATTACTGCTACAGATTTCCCTGCAATATGACCTCTGAAGAAAGAGCATAAAAATTCCATACTGATAACGCGACCCTCTCCAGATCTGGGTTGCGTAACGTCATCATTATGGAATTTCTGCGTTTGTTTAGTTCCTCAGAGGCCCGATTTCGCGGGGAAACCAATGATGGCGCTGCGTAATTTCGGCTGTTCTCTCAGGCTAGCCTATTCCGAGGAGGAGGCTAAAGCTTAAGTAATCTTAAGTTGCGAATTTAGCAGTGTATTTTCATCGGAGTATTTGCACAATTTATTGGCAACAATTTGATAACTAATCGTAACAATCTACACCGCACAGAAGGAATAAACCTGCTAGCAAGCTCTTAGGGGCGTGTGCACAATTTTCGCTGTGCCGCCGGAGCACCCAAGAAAGCTTGCTAACAGGCTAAGAAGCAATACAATAGAAAGGCGTTCCGAAAATAACCTACTTTCAAATGGATCACAGGCTCTGTGGCAGCCCTCCATGCACAAGTTCTCTTTCGCATCCTTAACAGTATTTTCTCTGCAGGTCATTTGGAATAGTTTACGGGATACAATATGGGCATCCACGATTCTCGCTGCAGCGCCTTCGTTTCCAAAAGCATAGAATCGAACATCAAAGTTCCTGGTCCTGTCCACCATACTAAGGAAGACATTACCAGTATCTCTTGTGCCTTTACTTTTACCATATTCAATCAAAGTTCTTTCGCCAGAGACGGTGATGCACACGAAGTAAGCATCATACAACGATTTCGCACCCAATCCAACTGCGTCTACATTTGTCACATAATGTTTATAGTCTCTGGCATCCCTGCCCTGCAAACAGGAAAAGTGAAGCCTTTCAGCCCCAATATTCACATAGAAATTCTCCTCACTGGTCTCCATACATTACCTTGAGGAATTAGTTGAGAGCATTTGCTAAAAGATAAAATTATTTTTGCTTTGGTGCTCAGTTTATTAATTCTCATAAACTTTAATCCTCTTAATTGAGAAGTATTGATATTGTCAAGAGAAAATTGATGTTGGTCACACTTAGAAAATTAAAAGACTACTGTAGTTCATTTTTTTTACAATGCCGATTGGTCGTTCTCATTCGCTACGGAGCTTATGAATGACAAAATCACAGCTTCAGTTGGTGCGAAACAGACATGTCTCCCAAGCATTATATCAAAAATTGCAAACGACGTAATTACAGAATACAGTCGTCTCTCCTCGCTCCTCGCCGTTGGGGACGATTCGCAGGAAAGACGTCTGCGCAACTGCCAATTCCATACTGATGTGGTGAAATCTTTAATTTATAAATCTGCATGGACAGGAAAGGTATTGTTCACGAATGGAAAACAAAAGGTCACAAAGGTGAATTGAGCCTCGTGGAATACATTCCTCTTTAGAAGAAGCATTTGAAGCTATAATTTGAGTTTTCCTGGATCTTGCTCGCAGAAGTACACGAAACGTTACCATAATCGACCAGGAGAAACATAAAATTGAACAAACTTCAATGGGGAACCCCTTGACTACTGTTTATTACGTAAACATTGATTTACGTCTTCAGTTTGGATTTTCTGTCGCTGAGGCACACCGAAAAGTCCCTAACGGCGACGAACATTAGTTTCAATCTTCTTCCTAATATGTCCATCAATGCCTCCTTTTGTATCAGCTGTGATATTTATACCTTTTAAACGTTTTCAAAGGTTTTATTTATGTTTAACTCGATATGTTGGCAGTTCAAACTGTTTGAATTTTGATAAATTTCTCGACACAGCTCCAGTAGATTAATTTCGATTGTCATACCACAATTCAACGATAAATAACTTATTAGTTAAAAGCCTTAAATTTGTTTATAAGTCGTGAGCTGCACTTTTCGCTTGCTTTGCATTTGCATGCCATGTAAGCGCCTAAGGAATCAAAAATAATGGTGTAAAATCATCAAACGTTGTTGAATTAACATTTCAGATCCATTTAAACGTATTAATGGACATTGTTGGATGTTGTCTTCAATCTGACCTGGTAGGAGATTTGTTTCTTGCACGAATACTCTTTAAATTTGTTTTATGGAGGCCTTAGTTTGGAATATTAAGCGAATATATAATTCTCGTGGAGTTTTAAAGAAAGCACATTCATTTTTAGTGCGTTTTCGCTGCCAGCGACGTACTAAGTTTGAAAGTTTGTTGCTTAACAGTTTAAGTTGTTGCTTAACGGGATCAATGCGTACCTTAAACATCCTGACCATAGTGGGTTCTATTACGACGCCGTAGCGATTTTCTTCATTTCCTGGCTTGGCAGAAAACAGAACTTTAATTGGTCCAGTTGATGCAGCTGTAAAATGGAGACATTTTCCGTCCACATTTTCGAGCTCCAAACGAAAGGCATTGGACCACCTAGGCTTGCACGGAGGGGGTGGGGGAGGGGTTGTGGGATTGGGATCCGCTCTTTTGATCGCCTTTCCTTTAACCAATTCTTCAATACGAGCCAAACGCATTCCTTTAAGATCAGAGGGAATCGCAGGAAACGTTTTCTTGGCAGATTTGAAATCGTCTTCTTCGAGAACAAGGCTACCGTCTTTTTCTTTGTATGTCAGTGTAAGACCAAATATGGATATCTTATGATGGCGCATATCAGTGACCTTTTCACCAAAACCGCTGTACAGATGGAAGACATTCCTTTCATCGCTAGTGTACCACTCTCCTCCTCTGTTTCAAAGAAACAATAACTAAGACTACTTATTCCTAAGACTATGTCTTGCTTATATGGGCTACTTCTGCACTCATACCAATCAAATCTTTCCTATGATCTGACCATATTCCGTATGATCATGAATTGGTCCGGGTTTCAATCGATATCAAAGCATTCTCAACTCTTTGTTGACATAAAAAATGGACTTCTCGCTTAACCCTCATCCATTTCATTTCCATAGGGAAATATCTTCTCTAATATAAGCATTAAATAGAGTCAAAATACAGTTTTTCCAATTTTATAGCTACTACTCTTTTACAGCTGTAGTTATAAAATCCGCGTTTTTCCAACATAGCAATCATTGATTCTAATTCCAATTTCTGAAGCTCAATGAGGTGCAATAAAATAAGACGTTTTTCTATTTCGTAACAGTATTTATCTGATCATGTAGATCTACCAGCAGAATAATCGTGGCCATAGTTATTAGAGGAGACTGGTTATGAAAAGCGGCAAACATCAATGATAAAAACAACAGTGCTGCAGTTTATGTTGGAAGCACCCTGAAAGTGCACAATTCTTTGTTTTCTGTTGGCAAATTGTTACGGAATAAATTAATGCAACGTTTTTATTGGTCAATACAATCAAAATGATACGAATTCTTTTGAAAGTTGTGCACTTTCAGGTCCACAAAAAGATATAACAAAGGAGTCTGACGGGTTTCATAACCAATTCCACTCAATTAACTATGTCGTGGCGTGTGAATTGATTTGAACCCGCCAAATAATTTGCTATAAAAAAGAACAATCAGTCAACCTGTAGTGAAGCTTCCTGGTCATATTTCGTTTGATGCTGTAAGCTTCGTGTAGGGGGTTAATCAAGTCATCCAACATGTCAAATGTCACTTGATAAGTTGCTCCACTGTTGACGAGGTCTTTCCAGGACAGTGGTGCCTGATCAACCAGCGACTCAGTGTATTGAGGCTCGTCTCTCCTGCTTACTGTGCACTTTTCTAGTTTTACTTCAGACAAACTAATGGGGCCCTATATTATACATAAAAGAGTATGAGAACGCCAAAATTGTCACGTACAATCTTTTGCCTCATGTAAGGGAATCCTGATTCCCGATTCCGGAATCCGGGTAAGTTTTGCTTGTGGAATCCAGAATCCGGAAAATGTATTTGCTTGTTGATTCCGAAATCTTGGGCTTTGGAATGCGGAATACAAATCGAGGAATCTAGAATCTTACTATTGATTGTAATCCGGAATCCTAGTTTTAATGACAAAGAATCCTGAATCTAGTACCTTGAATCCGGAATCCAAGGGTTAGAATCCGGAATCCGTATATGCTTATTTTTCGGAAAACAAGACAAAAGAAAATGAATCGCTAAAAATTACCGCGCTTTTCAATAACATGCGAACTCTGAAATATAAAAGACAGGCTTATAATTGCGCTTTCGCTGCCGTCAATCATAAGCAATTGAACCTTGGAAAATAGAAAGATACAAAACGGATCGAAATTCACCGATCAGAAAACGCAAAAGATGACTTTTCGAACTCGCTAATTAAAATTCTAAGAGTCAGGCAAAGATGATTGTCGGTAGCGAAGAAGGCAAGCGTTAGTTCGCTTTTGAACATCAGAGTTGACGCGTGTTTTTGAAATGGGCAGTAGGAAAATATCACCTTTCATTGGCCAGAAATGTCAAAACGTTTCTCACAAAAAGAGGAACTGAAACTTGTTTGCAATACTACTTGGGTTTCTTGAACCCAGTCCTTTCGAAGAAAGTTAACCCTCAACAGCGCAAGAACTGTCGCACAATCAGCCGGATGTGCCATCCAAGTAAAGTCACGCTAAAGAGGCTGTTAAACGGGTTGACGCCCCAGGCAGAGACAATCATCACGGAAGAACAAACAGGCTTCAGGGAAGGACAGTACAACACAGTGATACCAGAACAGATATTCAACCTCAGGATACTGTGTGAGAGGTACCTCCAATATCAACAAAAGCTCTCTATCACGTCTTTTTTGATTTAAAAATGGTGAGTTTGACAGAGTATGGCACGAAGTCCTTTGGCCTACTATGAGGCTTTACAAAAGTGATGCCAACCTGATTCCAGTCAAAGACATTGTTTACAACAAGGTTAGCAGTGCCGTCCATCTTAATGGTGGCACAAGAAATTGGTTTAGAACGACGGTCGGAGTCATACAAGGCTCTCTGCTCTCACAGATCTTAATATCCTTCTGGAGAGAATTGTGAAAAACCCACTGGAAGATCACAAAGAAATAGTCAGCATTGGAGGCAAAACAATCGCTTATTTATGTTTTGCCGATGAAATTGAGGGCTTAGCAGGAAAAGAGGAGGAAATACAACTGTAGCCTCTCTCGTTGATCACCTGGATAAGACCTCTTCTGCCGTTTGCATAGAAATTAGCGTAGAAAAGACCAAACTGATGACCAACCACACAGATGGCATCAGCATTGACATAAGAGTCAACGGCAAAAATTGGACCAACAGGACATTTTTAAGTACCTGGGCGCAGTTGTCGCAGATCAAGGTTCCAAGCCTGAAGTACCGTCCAGGTTTTGCACAGACGACAGCAGCACTATCGAAACTGAAGACCATCTGGGACAAAAAGAATATCTCCCTTAGCTAAAAAATCAACTGCGCTCCCTGGTTGTCTTGGTACTCTTGTACAGCTGCGAAACCTAAACATTGACAAAGGACATGCAGAATAAAGGAATAAATTGCACGCCACTGAGATAAGATGCTTTAGGAAGCTACTTAGTACCTCATACAAAGACCACATTTTTGGCATAAACGAGGAAGTCAGAAATAGAATCAGGCAAGCCATCGGGACCTATGATGACATCTTATCCAACGAACAGTTAATTAAAAGTGGTTTGGGCATCTATCAAGATCAGAAGGGCTTGCCAAGACAGTCTTACAAGGAAAAGTGCAGGGAGGAAGAAGAGAATGACAAAGAATGCGCTGGGAAAATTACATCCCTGACTGGACATGAAGGATTGAGATTTTGTGAATCCCTAAGGGAGTTTAAAAACACGATCATAAGGAAAAGGTTGGAAAATTCGTGGTGCCCCAACGGTGATCACGGCTACGGGATAGGTGCAGGTGTAGGATGATAATTAAGGCTCTCGACAACTTGTAAATCCATTACATATCTATTCTGCTATCAGTAAAATATACAACCGGGACCAAAAGCGAGTCCTTTGTTTTTTTTCTTATTTACCTCTTCCATATAAATTTCAATGGCTCTGCCCAAGCTTGTTCGTCTTGCCATTATCGCTTCTTCTAGGCCTTTTCGGTTATCATATTGGCAGTATACTTTTGTCTTCTTTCCTTTAGGCGAATAGTTGTAGTAAAATCTGCGCCCATCATCTTCCGTTTCCATATCTGCTACCTTTCCTTCGCAGCCCCAGGTCACCTGAGAAATATTAAAAAACAATCCACTAGGAAGCACTGTGATAGCTTCAATATGTTAAGGTTATCCCTGTTGTCCTATGGTTTGTATCAGCAAACAGTGTGTAGAAATGCTTGTCGAGAAAGGTGCCGACTGAGACAACTTACGAAAAGAGTCTGCACGAAAAAGAGAAAAGAGACCGACTGTGGCTGTTTACAAGAAGAGATAGTAACCCATTTGCGAAGGCTTACCTGAAAAGCGGGTAAGAGGTAAGAGATAGTTCGAATTCGGGTTACGTTATCACCTGGGTCAACTTTAAACAAAAAATGATCGAAAAATGGATTAGTTTCTAAGTAATTACATTAGTGTAACTACCTACCTTTTCTTCAGGAAACAAGTCATGCGATCGGAAATTCACCAGATCAACAATCGATCCCATCAAGAATTTAAACGCTTTTGGGTACCGTGGAATCGACTGCAGCCACTCCTTGAACTCTGCCTTGAATGTTGGTGAATAAGCATCGGAGAGAATGGAGGCAATTTCTTGGCTTCCGCCCTGGGCCATTATTGACGTAGAGGAAGTCTTCACTTGCTCGCGCTGTTGGTACCCGTTTTTTTGGCTATATTTAGCTCCAACACTCGAGAACAGAGTCTTATACTCCATCTCCATTTCTACAGCAAACTCTGTCTTTTTTTGGCCCTGTTTAGCCTGTTTTGTCTTCCTTATTTGAAGTTGTCCTCCGAACTTTGCCGACTTGATGTAGTGTGTCCCCCAGCGCTGAATGAAGTTCTCTGTCGTTGCAAATAAAATGTGTCACATATGCATCATGTTACACTCAAACTCAGTTGGTCTAAAAACTTAGAGGTAAGCTTCATTATATACGTTGTGGTTCAATTTTATCTTTGGTTTAAATTTTATCTTCTTTTGTTTTTGGGTAAGGTAATGTATGATAATTTTCATTATTTTATATACAAAATCACAACGGACCAATGTACTATAACTACAAGCCGACTATGGCAAGGACATAGGGCTTCCACGAGCTTCAAGAGCATTTGTTTCATAGCCTGGTTGTTGACAAATCAAGACCTCTGCTGAGTACTCTAGTTGGTAAAATAAGCCCTCCATGCCACTAATACCATAAACCGTAAAAAGAACAGCGAAAACAGGGTAGAAGCATGTTTTCCCAAGGATTAAACACAGCAACAACCAATCGCTTTCACTGCACACCACTAAGAGAACAATTCCTGGCATGAACAGTGAGGATCAAAGTCGACCAATAAATTATTATCAGTGACGATCGTAATACACCACTCACTCCTGTTGCCGCAGCCAATCGCCACCATCATCTGATGAAGAACTAGATTAGCAGGATGGGATCCAAACGTGGTATTCAATATCAAAGAGATTAACGTAGGTCGAACGATGAATTCTCTATAGGAATGCTACACATATTAGTTGCAACTATTACACAATACCTGCCGATAGCTCAAAACCCTCGGTTGTTGACCTGCTTCCATGTTATGCCTTTTTTCTAATAGCTTACAAAGGAAAAACATTTTGATATGTCAAGATGATTTAAATATAGTATTTTCTACTCACGATATTTCAATGGTGCTCCAGCCTCAAAGTAGGAATTTGGTAAATTCATAAATTCACGCAGAAAAGACAAACTCAAATCCTGTGGTTTCACCTCGTCCATGAAAATCTCATACCTAAAAAAGGAAGAAAATATTGATACAGAAGGCGGCTAAAAATCGATTAAAAAGACTCTTCAATAAAACAGTGACTATAAATTCATTCATTAGGATACATATTACACTTTGTCTTTCTTTAAGGTTGATATCTTTTTCACATGAAATCACAAATTGTACTGGACAACAAAACATTACATTGAGCAATATTAAAAAGTTTGGACGTAACAGTAACCAGTAAAATCACGATCGAACATACTAACAAGATAAAACATTTCAAGATTTTTAAAATGGCATAATCTCCACTAGGCTGCGTCACCTAAGTCTATACCGCTGGTTAAAAAAAACCGTGGAAATTTCAAGGCAATATTTGCTCCTTTCTAACAGCTATTGTACAGAAAGATGGGTACCCCTGAGCACTCACCTTGCGCTGCATTGAAAATTCTATGACTTACCTATCGATGTCGACATACAGAACAGACAGAAATGTCTGACTCGCTCCAGACGAAGAGCTTCCATAGGCCTCCTTCACACCAGCATAGAACCCAAAAATTGAACCAGAGACACCTGCTTCCTGCTGGATGTAGCTTCGATATTCCGACCGACTCTCAAAAGTTAACATGTAAGCAGAGGTATCGTAAACACCATGTACGTTCATTGTGTCTGGTACATCAAGGTCGTCGTACCTACAAAAAGGTAGTCAGACAAATATCTTAAAATTATCATAGAGTAACACTGAGGAAAACATTTCTGATGTTCGTCATCGCGTGGCTTAAACGGTCAATTTGGATACTTGGGATGACATGAACATATCGCCAGATCACCACTTTACCAATGAGCGGACAGTAAATACTTATAAAAGAATCTTCAATATTGAAAATATATATAATGTACAAAAATGAAGGGGAAAAGTATATTTTGGAAAGCAAAAACACCTCCAAAGAATATACTTACGATGCTTTGTTCTTGCAGTTTCTTTGTACTATACTCATTTTTCTGGATTCTGGACTGTATTTTCCTCGACCATCAAACCCAACTCCCATAAAAGCGGCTCCATCAATCATGTTCTGGGCAAAGTGAACATGTGGTTAATTAATTCATTAGTCATTATATTTTTTCGCACAAAATAAATGCTAATTTATCTACGGTATAGGCAACTATGAGTGCTTATATCCCTATAACTAAGATGAGTACGTACCGAACAACTAAATTAGATTATCACCAGCCGGGCTTCATGGAACGAATGTTTTATAAATTTTATCATAATGACAGTGATTCCACAGTTAGATGACTCTCGGTTATAATTATAATCTGTACCCTAAAGCCTAGCTACTGGCCTCGAACTCTTTCCTGAGTAGATGCATGTCGTTCTTAGAAAAGCCGCCTCCTGAACCAACTCTACCTTTGCTGCTACACCAATCGGGTTTAGTTCTGTTTTTCGGGTAGCAAACAGCTCTTACACAGCTCCTGAAGATTAAGAAGGCTCTGCAGAGATTATTCCACTCCGGACCAATTTGCGAGGACCGGGTGGTGGTTGCCTCAACAACCTAGTACATATTGAGGCCCTCGTCCCAGGGTTATGGGACTTATGGGCTCCTGCTTGCGCCCACAGGGAAGGGAATGGACGCCACGGAAATATGGGAGGATTCCCAGGCAGGAAATTCAACTTCAACATCCAACATCCGACATCAATACAGAGAACTGTACTATTTATACCAGTATATAGGGGTGTCGCATGTCATTTAAGACGCTAAGATATTTTTTGTGCAATTTATACGAGAAGTTCGTCTTTTCATTAAGACGCGGCTTCTGTAAGTACTCATATAAATGGCCAAATTGTGATATTAATGAGCTTTAAAAAATAAAATAATAACGGCGTGAGGGAGGCTGTTCTAGTCTCAAGGTTGTTCGCTTACAGTAGGTTAGACTGTGGCATAGGTTACTGAGTCTAGTTAAAAGTTCATTAGATCCTTTTAGCTTGTATGTTTTATTTTCCCATATCAGGCCATGCGATGTTACTTTAGAGAACTGTTTCTCTCATTCCACAAATTTCGCACTATCCGTGTGATAATAGTCTGTACCAGGTTCTCCGATAGTAGGGATGACGCGCAAGTGTACGCAAAAAAGGGGGCGGCGGCGGAGGGCAAAAGGATGGGAGTTTCCTCTCGTTTTATTTTCGTGATCGCGCTTGCTCAATTTTGCAAACCCGACTATCTCGGAGCCTGGAACAGGTTAGTGTGATAATCCAGAATTTATGAAAATATAAATGACAGAATTTTCCTCGAGAACACCACTTAGTCTGAATTATTGTGAAAACAAAACGTACAAGCAGGGAAAGGACTAGAGTAGTTTCTCTTACAAGGCAAATAGGTGAGGCAAACTTGGCGTTATAGCATGGATCACTTGGAGTGTAATTGGTGCCGTAGCAACCGTTCATCATAACGTATCCCAGACCCATGTTCGGAGCGTAAGTAAACGGCTGCTCTCCATGTTCCTTCTCTGTTTGTTCCGTGTCGGAGATTGACGCACCCATATGGTATCCCGGGGGTACGAACATATCCGGGGTACTCCATCCTTTATCAGGCATGATATCAAGTTTGATCTGTGAATAAATGGTTTGTATTGTGAGTAACAGAAGTTCGCGCAGTAACTAACATAAAAATTCAGATAAGACTATAGCTAAAACCGAAGCTTTTGTTCAGGACTAACCGTTTACTTCACACAATAAACTTAACATTAGTAGTCGATAATTAGCCTGAAAAAGCAAAAATATTTTTCGTATCTGTTTCACACGCCCTTCCTCAGCGTGTCAAACGTGAAAAGTGGAAAAAGGCGTTTGCTCTTGCAGGCTAATTGATTGTCATAGAAATCAATAGCTCTGACACAAACATTTAGAACTTTAGCCCATGCACGATCCGATGAACAACTATAAGCTGTTATGATTCGTTTAAGTGGTATGGCTCAGCAGATTTCCTAACAGCATCTTATTCCCCTTTCAGAGGAGCACCTAGTATTTCTAAGTACTTCAGCAGTGATCTGTAATGAGTAGTACTTTATAGCACTTTATACAATGATGTGAATGCTACGCGCGCTGTGATTGGTCGTTGCCCATGATCTATTAGAGTACAGATACGGGAAACTTGTTTTCTTTGTTTTGTTCAACATGGCACGCGTTTTTGAAAATGTTTGTGAGATTATTTCGGATTGAGGTAAGTGAAAGCTTCGGAAAAAGTTTAGCAGGAGCTATTTACAAAGAAGAAAAATGGAGAAACGGAGACCAAAAAAGCTATTGACTAATTGACAATGCCTAAACTACAAGAAATCTTCACAACAGTTGCCATCGTGTGTCTTCGCTACGAGAGACTCGCTGTTTTGCAGAATGTTTTCGCTATTATTCTTCTTTGAGCAAGAAAAGACGGTGAAAAACTTTTCCAAGAAACTGTACACAAGTAAGATAAAGAAGAAGCTAAGATGAAAAGTTGGGTTTGGGACTTAAGAAATGCCTAAACTAGCACAATTCCTCAAAAGGTCAAGCGGTTCGAGGCAGGTATGTGTATCCGTCTTTTTCTTTTCTGATCATTGTAAAAAACAAATAGATTCCATGTTGCCGTGGGTCTGTTCAGTAATAGATCACAGAGGGCGTCAAAATGTGGTAAAAGCAACAGTGACACAATCGCCTGCGGCTCGTGTGCCACTTCTTTGTTTTTTACGACATTTTGACGTCATCTGTGATCTATTACTGAACAGACGCACGGCAACACGGAATCTATTTGTTAAGTAGTAAAATCCAACGAGTGGTCTATTATGAATGCTGCGTTCTGATTGGTTGAGCAACTACTAGCATAAATGTTATAGCCCACTAGTAGCGAAAAGTGCCGGCTTTGAAAACCAAAACAATGGCGGCTGAATTGCGTTTTGCTAGCTAAAGTTGTTTTGCCTCGATATTTTTGACCAACTAGTTGGATTTTACTAAAACAATTATTACTCTCGCCCTCATGGCCTCTGAGTCAATAGCCCATTCGGGCTCGAGGAATAATTGTTAAATATCTTATTGGACAGTTTAGTGTGTATCATGGGATGTTTGTGCGAGTAACGCTATAATACAAAGAGCTAATACAAGAGACGAGTACAAATATTTCCAGTTCAAGTACAATTATGGCAAAGAGAAAACAGGCCACTAAGTGTAAGAGATTCACATGGAAGGAGATGCGTAAAAGCCCAAAAGAAGCATGGATGGACAGAGCTGAAAAAAATAATAAAACCAGGCTGCATTCGGCAAAATTTGAAACAAATCTCCCGAGCGCCATTAGTATGCAAGAATGAAACTTGGCAATTTAAATTAGAGCGCTCTTAATTCTTCATCGCCAAAAATAGACAAATTCGACCGGACTACCCGTGGCCAAATGGAAGAACTATACTTCATCATGATAATAATTTTTTTGAACTTATACCACAATGCTCTTTTGTACGTAGATGAAATCCATCATCACCACTAACTCCCTAACACGCACCTCTTTCGCCAAAAACTTGGAAGCCTTCTCTTGAGCTTCGTCGATAATTTTGAGCTGTTTGTCCACCAGTTTGCCCATGACTTCCAGTCCTTTGTCAACAACAGCTTCCTGAACTTTGGGGTTTTTTAAGGCTGTCATTGCTAGCGCAGGAAGCGCTTTTTTACTTCCAGTTTCTGTTTGGCCTGTAAATAAACATTTACATGTAAGAGATGTGAACGCTATCTTTTGTCATTGAGGTCTAGAAGTTTCTCGCGAAGTGAAGTAAAGTCGTCATGTTGCTTTTCAGAGTTTACGTACTCAGTGTTGATTAACGACTTCGTCGTTGTGTAATGTGTAATACGTGATGTCGTGGATTAGTGGACAACAAGACGCGCCCTGTATACATTACATATTTAAATGTTCACAATAAGCTCTGACGTCAGCATACAAGGGCGCCACTGGCAGCCGCTATCGGTCCATTTATGAGCTTAGTGTAACCCACCCATAGTCCATAATATGAATGATGTGTGACGCGTGAAAGGTAGACTACACTACCGGAAACTTCCCTACTCTTTTCGACCAGTAGTGTGGGTCCTTTCTCTCCCCTTTCGATTTGACTAATAAAAGGATGAAGGAGAAGGGGCCAACGGCTTAACGTCACCGCCAAGAAGTTTAGAGATGGTTCAGGCAAAGTGCAACTTGTAAATTATTGTGATAGAACAATACAACCTCTGTTTGTCTGATTATAACTTCTATATTTTTGGTCTTACAAGAAAGTAAGCTTACAAGGAACGTTCCTCTGACGGTCAAAATATTCCCTTGCTATGTGCATTACTGGAGTCTTTTACTCCTACAAACTTTAACACAGTCAATTTGAAATTTAAACCCTTTCAACTAAAGTCACCGAATATATTTAGTTAAATGTTAATTCAAGGACGCACCTTCTCCGGTATTGCTTTGGCTTTTTTCCCCATCTTCGGCTAGTGTGTCTTCTACTGCGCTACCATCATCTTGTTCTTTAAATCCACTTGAATCTTCAGCCTTATTCTCGCCCTGCAGGACTGCAGATTCGCCTTTTTAACAAAAAAAAAATATATAGAAAATGAACATCACGGTTAAAACTGAACGACAAAGTCTGAGTTATACATAAAGTGGTATTCTCCGGAATCCGGTCAAAAAATGACTGACTGTATCAGTTAATATAGGTTGACATTTCATGAACCTGCATTCTTATTGGCTGCTCGATAAAAAGATGAACCGTCTATCGCGAACTGATCTGGTGTTTCTTTATAACTCGACGAACACCTGCACTTATGCAGTTATTTTTGCCGTTGAGGAGTTGAATGAATTCTCCTAGAGACTTACCCGGATCACGCAAATGTTAAATTTTTGTCAAAATACGCCTTGAAATGGTTTAGAGGAAACCCGTTCGAAGATTCAAAGGTGTTCCCTCTTCTTCAGTGGTCTGAAAACAACCACACAACTGTTTTGCTTGCTGACTTGCTTGCTTGATTTTTTTTTTCGCTTGTTTTTCTTTTGCCATTCACGTTCACAAGGGTGAATCAGCACTCTCCCGGTCGTAATTCAGGTCCTAAGTTTTGAATTAATTTGTACATTCATTACATTAAACTAGGAATGCGATTATCGCAATTTTTTTAGTTCCGAATAGGAATTGAACGCACGACATTTCAGACACTAGTCGGATGCTCTCTTTACGTCAGAGATACTGTGAACTCTATATATAGTGATGAGCAAATCATTTTTCCTATGTACCGACAAAATTCTCATACATTTCCTCCAAAAAAACCCTCCATAATACGGACCCTCTCTAATAAGGACAACGGACACAAAATCTCGGCCTTTGGGAGCAAAGCAGAGCTTTTTTTCGTACAAACTTAACCTCTTTATTACGGACACTCCAGGGACTAGGTGTCGATAATTTGCGGTATGTACCATGTCCTGTCGGCACTTACACAAACATTGACACTTTATCAATCAGCGATACCAATACCAGAACATGTCAATGGAAATTAACAAGACACTGAATTTAGTTACGGAAAACTAAATCCTGTCAGTGGGGTCTTAAAAGTGACGCCATCCTAGTGACCTCTCTAATACGGACACGTCGCTCTGTCCCTTCGGTGTCCGTATTAGAGAGGCTTGACTGTACCACTTTTTTTGCTCTAAATCGCACCTTTTCAGCCAATTTACCGTGTTTTTTTTTCGTCGTTTGCTGTCTTTTTCGGCGCCATGTTTAACTACGTTGTATGCGCAAGCGCATTAGCCCTTTGGATTTCGTCAAGATTTGATCAAGGTCAACCAGATGATGCAATTGATGTTGGACACACGGAGTTATTTGAGTTTGGCGAGGGAATGAAATTTAGAGCTGTTTAAGAAGCGGGTATTATAGCTGAGCTGGAGATTGTGTCCTACCTTTCTTGGTGTTTAACTTCCAGGGAAAGGAATAAATTCAATTCCGGGAAAGTACGCTTGCTAAATTTCGACTGTGTATTCCTATATTTATCCCATGCCTTAGAGAATACAGTCATTCAAAAAACGTGAACCTGTTGCCTATTCTGCGGTATGCAACCGGTAGTATTTCACGTAAAAATCCCGGCGATGCTTGCGGCCTCCACATTTTCCCGCCAAAAATAGAGTGGATAGCGACAGACAAAACATTCCAGAACCAAGTTTGTAAACAACACTAAAACTTGAGTCTTTACTACAATTTGGACGTCTGAGAGGTCAAAGTTAAAAAAGTAGGTCAAAATTAAATGAAATCAAATAAGCCAGTTAACCATGCAGTTTTGCGAAAACCGAGATGGATTTACCCTGCACTTCGAAACAAGAAAACCTGTAAACTGAAATACCGTCAGAAACTTTCGAAAGCTGTCATGCCAATTACTTCAAGATGCAGGTAAAAATAGACAGAAATGAATACGAAGTTTATTCATTGATCAGCTGTGGATCATTTGCACATAGTAGCTGGCAGACCACATATAGTATTCATTGTTTTAAAAGTGACTTTCTCCGAGTTTACCTGTGATCTCGAGTTTTAAACGCAAACATGTAAACAAAGAAAAATCAAGTCACGATTGGGATATTCATAGCATACCACGAGAAAGCATTGCACAACTAGTAAGTACATGCACTGACATACACCCACACGGATAAAATTCTGCAAACGCACCGGATTGTGATGATAAGACCTTTTCGCCAAGTCATATAACTAAGTTTAAAACACGATGAACTGATCTAGACGAACTGAATGAAAATATGAACAGTTCGCACAATAGCAAATATTTCATGATTTCATATGCCATCAGCGATGCTCGGTTCAATGACATCGATGATCTCGCAAAAACCTATGATTTGTCGCGGCATATTTGACCTAGATGTGTCACACAAGAAGCTATCATTACCTTCGAGGTTACCATGCAGCTTTTGGACGATTGCAGTGATATAGATAGCTCTTTCAACGATCTTCTTCTCACTTTTATTGATCATACTCGAGGCCGGCTACGCCGAGAACATAAAATACTTTTTATTTTTCCAAAAATGTTTTCATGACTTTTACCTTATTTTGAAATAACACTTGACGGTCAAGCTAAGGAAATCTCGAACGCACTCACTAATACACGATTACAACTAGTAATAACCAAAGGTTACGGAGTACGGGCGACAACGATCGAAGGTTAAAAAGCTTTTGCTCCAACGCTATGCTTTGCGTTGGTCTGCACTGACAGATGGTCAAAATACGCGTGATCAGATTACGAGGCGTCAGGAAGATCGAAACGCGCGTGATCGAATTGCGTTCTATGCATTCCATTCATTCTTAGTGGAAGTCCAAACGAATGCTGGCTACATACGTGCGACGCATGCGTAATAACAACCTGAAGATTAGGATTTCGGGCTCCTCTTATCGCCTGCAACTGTTATATCTGGTGATTAATGTAGCTTGTTTCAACTTTCTTTTGCTTTGAAAGTGTCGCTTCATTGATGATGTACAACGAATTATAAAAAATTCATTTCGTAAAAACTCAGCAGCACCTGCCTTGCCACGGGTGGAAGATTGACTCTAACAATGACCACTTTGAAGATGTTAAACATGAGAAATTTTTCGCTTTATGGACTTTTAAAGATTACCTTTTTCGCCAGAAGATGCTTCTATATTTATGTAAATATTTCTAGCCAATTTTTACCAGAACACATTGTCAATTACTGATCTGCCGAAAATATCGAGTTCGCCTTCAAATTGTTTCATAATGAATGATGAAAATTATTGATGAGTTTTGTTTTTTTCTGAAAAAAAAAAACGAATTTAAATAGAATTGTAAGACTTGCCCACAAGTTGACCTTTCTTAAGCGTCGAAGTCGCAAAAACAAGCTACGAAAATTGTTTCGAAAATCGTTCACCTGCTTTGGTAAAATTACTTATTATGCAAGGTTACTCTGAATCAAACTGTTCTTTTGTTCTCTTTCTCAATGAAAAACCAGTCTTTCTTTTTCCTTTGTTTTTCTTATTCTATACTTCCCTGGGGGGTAAGGTCAGCTTTATAGTTACTTACAGGGGTTATATTAATTGCTGTATTTTAGTCAATTCTGTGCTACAGTCATTACTTAGCGCCTTTATCCAGACACGAAATGTTCCTGTAGAAAGATGAAGAAAATATGAAACAAATTTCATCATGGAACTCCAACCATAATGGTTTTTGGTGACTTTTGCAAGCATATCATTAAAACTTGAAGATAAAATGGTCTAACATTTTCAAGTTTCAATCCAAGTTCATCCTCTTCATCCGTAGCAAAAGACGAGAGGAAATAGTTTAAATGCCAAAAAAAAAACAGTCTTAATTAACAAAACTGGGTCATCATTTTTGGAATTCGATTTATGCGAAGACACGGTCGTTTTAGCTTTGTCATAATATAGCAAATAGCATGAAATAGCGCCCTTTAAGCACAAAGACTAATTGTAACTTAACGAACGGTGTACTAAGTGGGTCTAAATTTTTTTTATCTAACTGTGATAAATAATAAACTGTTGTGTGAATTTAAAAATTTTCTTTAACTTACAATGATGCTGAGTTATGCAGACGGATACAAACAAGAACAATGTGACAGTCTTCATTTCCGTCGTTTTTACCAGCAAATCTAAAAGGCAATAGACAAATAGAAAGTAATTGAGTTACTGCTCGAGTCATCAATTTGGAAAAAACAAAGACAACACGAAAATGACCACTGATCTAAGGAGCAACAATCGGTTGAGGTAAGTTAACAAAAAAGACGTGAACATTGTACAGAGCGCAAAATTTCTACTTTAAGAGAAAAAAAGGAAAAACTGAACAATTAGAAAAATAAAACACTCACCTGTGAGCATAACTCTGCTTTGCCTAAAAATGAAGTTGAAATGAAAAGAACAAGCCTTATGTTTCCAAATGGCGATTACTTATTGATACATATACGTACGTGTAACACATTTCAAAAGATCGCATGGTTGCACTGACCAGGGGGCGGGTACAGAAAATTTGGAAAGGGGGGGGACACTTTCCAGTTATATAAATACCAATTATTTTACTGAGAACTCATGAAGATAATATGACATTTCAAAGAAAAGGGGGGAGCAGCCCACTCGGCCCGACCCCTAAATCCGCTCATGATATCGATCAATGACCAGTTAACCACCTGATTGTAACCATGAATGAAATTTATTTTCGTGGTAACAGTCACGGCACGCAGCCCAAAAAACTTGATACTTTTCCTATTTTAAAAGGAATCAACGCGAGGATACCTTTTGTGGCAAATTCTAAAATCAGTGTCAGATCCAGTCCTTCAGATAAGGGAGGATGGGCGGTCATCTAGACCCTGAGATAAGGGGGGCGTCTCAAAAAAAAACTTTTTCGGCCCTTCAGGCCTCAGTTTGGTCGAAAAATAAGGGGGGAGGGCCTCCCCTGGATCCGCCACTGAAAATGGTGGACTAAACCCATTGCAAAATCCTACGCAACACACGGACACGAGCCGCCTGGTTCAGAAAGCACAGTTGGATCAGAATCAGTATCTTTGGAGCGGTAGACCCGGGTTCAACGGCGAAGCGCAGCGCATCTAAAAATATATTGAATATTTCTGGTCCTCCGCGAGACTCTGACAACCATTTGCGAGCTAACAAGTCAGGAAAAAAGCGCTGGTACAAGGTAAACTATTCCCACTGAATAGCAAGAATAGTTAGTACCGAGCATTTTCGATGGCGGAAATGCATTATTTGTTCTAGGTACCATTAAAACTACACATTCGTTAAATTATGTGTGAAAATATTTAAACTTACAGAAACTTCTGAACCCATCTCAAGGCATCGAACGCAGACAACTCGAGGAGATTGTTACTCGTTACAGTGAGAATTCGTCGGTCGAAGTATATACTATCGACTGCACTTTATGCAATTCACTGACCAGAAGATAGCACGGCCATTAGAGAGTTCCTCGGCCAATTCCAAACCTACAGGAGATCTCGTTCGAGTGAAACACCAAGAGCATTCGAGTTTTCGAAAACAAACGGAAGAAATATAGGTCTCTCTTTTTATCTTCTTTGACTTTAACTGCGGATAAAACAGATTCAAAATACGGTAATTTAGAAACCGAAGATAAAGTTAACATGTGCAGTATAAGGTTACAGGGCACCCAAGAAAGGAAGAAAAACTTTATTTAAACACGGTAATCTTATGAAATTTACATATGTGTATACAATGGAAATCTGTTCTAGCTAGTAAAAGCCGTGTGTAACCACACTCAAAATTTGTAATATAATAAAGAAGTACATGTATTTACAACGGTGTTGTAGATGCAAAGTTGGAAGTCTTAATTTTCCTTTTAAGGCGCTAACGGATGGTAGCTCTTTGATATGTTCTGGAAGTGCATTCCAAATCCATGCACAAGTGAATGCAAAACTGTTCCCGAACATTGAGGTCCGGGCTGTAGGAATCTCAAAATCTCCCAAGCTACTTTGGTGGTCCTGTTGATTGTAAAATATATGGGTTTGTATGCAAGTTAAAAATCACTGATCAAACAAGCAAATATTAAGACAAGTAACGGGATTTACCTTTTCAAATCGTGTTAGTGCGTCGCTTCTTTAGTTCCTTGCCTAGATTCATTTCAGTCACTTTGTAACTCTTCACATCTCACCTTGGAAATCTGCATAATTCCTTAATAAACATCATGCATAGACGCTTCGAATAATTCTTTGGGCCACACTGTAATTTGTGCTACCCCAACAAAGTTTTATCATCATTTTTATTATTGTTATTATTATTTTTTTTATTCTTACTATTATTGTTATCATTATTATCGTTATTATTACTATTATCATTATCATTATATTATCGTTAATATTATAGTCAGTGTTGTTAATTTGCGCCTTTGATGACACGTATTTCAACTGTACATTTTTGATACGTAGGAAGAAATCCTTTTTAAACATTTTTAAAAGTTGTGAATATATTATCCGAATAGACTTACTTAAAACGCCTGAATTAGTTAAGGATAGTTTTGTTGTAGAGTAGAAGTGCGATTTACTTGATTACTGAAGAATTCTTATTATTATCATTATTATTTTTATTTCTATGATTATAATTTGTTATCAATTATTAAGCAAGTCAAACCCTAGAAGCTTAACATTACTCACTACCCGGAGTAAATAGGTATCGATTTATCAATCGATAAATCGATAAAAATCGGTAAATCTGATTTAATTGATATCGATTGTATCGATCAATCGGCAGAAATCGATGACACACTCGTTTCGTTTATCGATTTATCTAGATTTTACCGATTCCATCGATTTATATTGGAAGATACATCTGTTCTTCTGTTCAACCAAAAATGAAAACTGACTTCACGCAAACAGTGAATTTGTTGACAATTGAGTTGCAATTGAGAGTCGAAGGATCAAACAATTAATTATCACTTTTTTTAAAAAAAGTTTAAAAAAATCTTATCTTTTCTTTAAACCCGCTTTAAAGTCTTCTTCTGATGGCCGATATTGGCCAGGTTTGTAAGCGCCCAGTTTTTTCCTCACGATTTGCAACCCCGAAATCGATAAAAATCGTTAGCGATCAAGTGATTTTATAGATTGATAACGGAAAACGGTGAAAAGCTATCTAGCGAAATCTTTTAGCCTGAATTCCATGGCATCCCTTCGACTCTAGAGGATGTCTGAAATTCAGGCTGAGAAATCTTTTATGTAAGGTTGTATTATTATTTCTCGTGGTACTTGCCTGCGATAACTACGAAAGTAATTAAACCGAACCGTTTTTGTTATTATGTACAAAAGGGTCACGGTTTTAGAGAGAACCTTGTGTCTGTAATAGTTTCCACATTTCCTATTTTCATGTTTGTTGATCAGTTGTTACTCGTGGATGTGTTTTCTCAGCTGTACTATTTAACTGTTGCCAAAAAACAACAATGTCGGACTTACCGTTATAAATCGTTAAGACCATGAAAAGTCGATAATATCGATTTGACACAGCAATTTGACTTATCGATTTTCACCAATTTCCGTTATCAATCGATAAAAATCACTTGATTGCTATCGATTTTTATCGATACCGATTTTTATCGATTGCCTACACCGGGTCAGTAAGAATGACACATTGCAATGAACTCGGAAAGACGCAAAGAAGAGACACTATGATAGAAAGTGACAAAAGATATGATCGCTAAAACATTGTTGTCATAAAAGAGTATGGTCAAGACTGCAAATGGCAAACAGATCTCGGTATGAACTTTTGATATCCCGCTCTGCAGTCTTGTCGAACTAATTTAACTGACCAGTGCTTTAAAAAACAAAAATCAGAAACATCAAAAACACAGTCTACATGCCCGCACGGGATTATATTTGCAAATAAACCCGTACCTTTTCTTTATTGATAAAACATTCTATGGTTATTTGGCGCGATTAACAGATTTGGTATTTTAACAGATACCTTACATTCAGCCATGCAAAACCAGCCATTGATGTTCTCCTTAAAGAAGTGTCCACTCATGCTAGACGTTCAAGCCGGCTGACAAGGCCGTTCCTTGTTGTCCCTAACCGTAAAATTACAGTGAAATAACACGTGCCTATTACTGGAAAACGTGACAGAAAAATTCGTCCACCATGGAGTCATAGTCTATCGGCAGCGGATGGTCAGCGGTTTTGGCTCCTAGAGCAGCCGCACCAACAGCAGAACTTTCACGTAACTTAACTAACGTAAAGCGTTCAACTTGAACAGCAGTGTTGCCCTGAGAACATCTTAATCCAGCTAAGAAACCTACAAAGAAGTGACAAAAAATTACAGTCAGTAAAAGTGTGGTTTATGTTTTAAAATTTTGCACGTTTTACCCAACATTTTGTAACCACGCCCGCCAAAAATATATGCTGTTTAAGATGGAATCCATCAGGAAATTGAGTAATTTTCAGTGGACAAAAACCTTGTACCAGAATAATTTAAAGAATATTGCATTCTTTTTTACATTTTTCAAGAGCTAAAGATGAAATTAGGTATCTATAGTAGCACCAAAGAAAATTTCGGTTGGGAGCCCGAGAAAATGAATGTCAAATTTCACAAAATTACATCTTACACATGAAATTTTCAGAATTTTACCTGTGTTTTCACAATTCTTGTGAAATTTGGCATTCATTTTCTCGGACTCCCATGAGAAATTGTCTTTAGTGTTATTACAAATAACTAATTACATCTTTAGCCCTTGGAAAATGTAAAAAAGAATGCAATATTCTTTAAATTATTCTGGTACAGGGTTTTTGTCCGCTGAAAATTAAAACTGCTCAATTTCCTGATGGATTCCAGAAATCTCAGAAAAGATGTGGGCTAGGCTTGGATAAATTCTGCTCATAAAATTGCTTATTCTGCCTGCCGGCAGTGCTCATAAAAATCGCTTATTCTGCTCAAAATTCTGCTCGTACACCCTTATTCTGCTCGAATTCTGCTCTTCTCTGGAATATAAATATAAAAGGGAGCCTGAGCCTAGCCCCTAAAAACTAATTGGACATTCATTATGCGTAGCAAAATTGTAATTCATCTTACTTTTAATGCGAGTGCTTTGTAGCTATTAAATAATCAAATTAATCACCAGGTATTCTCCATTTGTTTTTTATTTAGTTTTAAATTTTTCTTACAACTGTTACGCATATCACAAGTGCGCTGGTATTCCCTTATTCTGCTTAAATTCTGCTGGCCTCAAAAATCGCTTATTCTGCTCGAAATTCTGCCCGGAGAATATATCCAAGCCTAATGTGGGCACTGGTGACGTTTATGCCAATAAAACCTGGAAGCCCTGTGATCCTACATGTAGTATCTAGTGGAATCCACGAGATGCTTCGGCGTGGTTTGCCTTACTAATAGCAAATTTGCTTCCATAAATCCATCACGTCAAGTCGATAATACCTTGAAGCTTCCAGATTATACAACCTTACCATCCCTTAGAAGGGCCCAGCTCTGCCACACTGCACCAACACACGTGATTCTTAGACCTTTTTCTGCATTCAACAGCGCTTCTTGGCATTCCTGAAAATTTTGAATTAAAAACACCTTACTGTTTTGGAGTGTGATACGCTCGGATAGTTTACCAAGTACATGGTAATTTTGTATTTTGCGAACAATTAGAAGAATTTTCGCGCGTGCTGTCTACAAAAACACCGTTCAACATATTTACTGTAACGCATTTTTTTCCCATTTTTGGTACCAACGTCTATTTTCTTCGGGTAGAATGAGAACGTACTTTTACTATGTATGCCCTACATGACTGAGGAGTATAGAAGAAAGGAAGTAAAATGCATTACAGAGTTTGTTTGATTTGAGTGAACAATTTCCCTGAATGAAAGAATCGAAAAATGCTGGCTAAGCATTGCACGTGTTCGTAAATAATGAAAAATGGTAGTGCTGTCGTCTAAACCAGGAAGATTGTGTCCAACGTAGTAGTGAACTAGATTATCAACTAAAATGAAAAAGAACAAATTTATGACTATGATCTATACAATTGCTTTACAAAATGAAATGCATCAAGGTCGGAAAGGGGCCATGAAGAACAAAAGAATGTAACTAAAAAACTCACTTTATCCATGTGCTGGACAACAGCCCTGATGTGGGTTCCTAAAACTTCACCAGCTTGAAAAAACAGATGCTGGCAAAGTGGATCCTTGGCTTCGGCTGCCCCTGAAAATTATTACGGCAACAAACCATCAAACGACAAAACTAAAAAGGGTCAAAGGATGAAGACGTTTGGCTTAATTTTAGGCCTGTCAAACTACGGCGAGACAAGGTTGAAGGGAGGTTGTTAGCCGTTTTGTACAGCTTCACTTGGCGATCATTTTCTAAGCCCCACCCCTTCCCACTGATTGCATGCAAAACAATACTTGGCTTCACACTGGAAGCTAAGTTGATTTCAAGTAAGCACTTGATTCAGGTGCACTTGGAAATCTTAAGTCGCTCTGTAGAGAACACGGCCCCATACTTGTTGACAAAGTATATTACTTGAAGCAAAAGCCGTCAATCTCTCCGTTCATTAGAATCTTGGAACCGCTGCGCGTGCAAATCGTGCGCATGGTTTCCATTTTGTTATTGGTCAAGTGTGTTCTCAAGTGTGGTGTAGACCATACTTGGCGGCGAACTTCGGCTTCTTAAAAACTAGGCAACGTTTTCATGATCACCAAGTAAAGATGAAGTAGGCACAATTTACCCCTTCACACTCAAAGTACATTGTAGGTTCCAAGTACACTTACATCATACTTGAAGATCTAGTGTGAAGCCAACAAATATCTATCTTTCACAGTCAGCACTACCAGTAAAAAGGAACCCTGGAGTAAAGCAGACGTGTGCGCGCAAGCAGAGGCTCAGGATAAATTAAAGAGATCATGAAGGACTGGGAACAAGGCAGGAAGGTTACTTATGACTTACCAACAGCTATAGATTTACAGAGTCCTGCAAAATGCGCTTTCTCAAATTTCGCGTACAAATGATTCAACATTCCAAATAAATTGTCTATCTGTGGAAAAAAAAAGTTAACACCATTTTATTTCATTACCTCTTTGAAAACGCATACAATTACAATGACTAATCAATTTTATCATTTAGGAAACTTGATGTACTATCACTGATTCGGATAAAGTTTTCAGCTTTTTTTTTAATCCTACAAGTACTCAATCGAGTGTCCTAGTGACTAAATGAAATATGTGTCACTCCGTTCTAACCTTTCTATGGCTCTTGCTCTAAGTTATTTCATGATTAGAGTGCCCGTGGAATTCATGTCATGCCAAACACAATGTGGTTTTGTCGTTTAGGTTATTTTTTGATAAAACACGAGGCTGGGATACAAATTATTAGTGAGCTTAAGCTACCACAACGACAAGCAAAAAACTAAAATTGCGCTCTTTCAAACTATATCACGCTTATGAAGACTTGGCCAATTTGTGAAATGCAGGTGAATTTTTCCGGAATTAAATTATTTAGGACTCTATCCAAGTTCATTTAATAGAGAAAGGAAAATTGTTGTCTTCCATAAAACATTGAGTTGAACGTCTCAGGCGTCGTAAAGTTAAGTCTATTTTTTGAGAATACGCGAAAATAAAACTTTCAGTCAAATCGCATTCTCGTGGTCGTCTTCATCCTCGAAACTAAAGGTTTCTATTTTTCATACCACAGTTATACCTTGAAATATTCAAAAACGGTTCTTTTAACATAGCTGATATCATACGGCGAAGGAACCAATCCATCCTCAGCATCAAATACTGTCTTGACGGCTTTGTAGGCTATCCACCATGCTATTGTAGAAAGAAAACGAAAACATTACGCACTAAATGCTCTGACGAGAGACTTGCTTCAAGAGTAACTTTTCAAAGGAAAGAAACTATGCAAATTAGCTTAAACTTGTAAGCTAATTGTAATTTTGTTGGTTGATGTACTGAAAGCGATCTTACGAATTTGGATTTCCAAGTCTGTTTTTTTTTCAGGGCCGGGTTGTTAAAAACAGGGTAAAGATAACCCAGGGTTAGTGTGAAATTGGAGTTCAAATACGAACACTTAACAAGCCAATTCAGTTTCATTCTTCTGTATACAATTTTGATGGTTGGACCAATGCTCTGAAAAGAATAGAGAAAATTATCAGGGAAAATGCTTTTGAACAAAAGAGAAAGAAACCTGGGTTAAAATTCAACCCTGGGTTAAGCGCTAATCGGCCTTCTAACAACTGGGCCCTGAACTTTACCTCATTTCTGTTGCTAATCAGCAAGTAGTTAAAAGTTATCGATTGAGGCCGAGTTCTCATGATCAAGAATTCTGCAGATCAAAGATGGTGTTTCGGCCTGACGAAGAACGACACTTAGGAGTTCGTTATATATATTTTGAAAGCCCAAATCGCTTATTGATTTATTATACAATCAAATATGGTAAAATCACAACGCTGTGATTATGTCATTTACAAAGCGGAAATTCTGTCGCTAACGATGAGTTTGACAGAACCCTGACTTTAACTTCAGTAAAATGTCACTGGTATACGCTAGACCTAGTAAACTTACCAGAGCCTTCATCCCCCATCAAGTGACCCCACCCACCACAATTAAACGTTTTGCCACTTGGAGTCAACATCTGGCAGTTGGAGCCAGTTCCTGATATCAACACTATGCCACCTGAAAAAGGTGAAATAAAATGTACACTTTAATTTTAAGATCTTCAGCATGCGAGCAAGGGAAAAAGGGAAGAAAAGGTGAAAGATTAAGCGTGAACAGATGGTAAGTTGTGAAGGGGAAGAAATGGAAGAGTTAGGTGTAGGGAGTAGGAAAAAAAACGCAGCTTAAACATTCCATTATAAGCACATTGAATACAAAGACTTGGACGGTATCACAGTTTGAATAGTTAAAAACAGTACTTACATGTATATTTGCATGGCTTTTTCTAAATCAAGTGTCCCCAGTTCAAAAAAGCGTTTTTTTTTTTTTTTTTTAATTATTCCATTGTTTTCTATACTAATCTATCCAGAACTATTCTCCCTAGCTCAGTGATGCTTAACCTTTCCCCCAGGATAATGAGAAGTCCAACATGGATTGAAGAACATTACCCCACCACACAGAGCCTCCGTGATCTCTCCTAACCCCAAAGGTGGTCAGTGGATTCTACAGGGATAATAACCTTGTAACACAAAATCTTCATTCTACGATCATCCTACCCTGGCTGGATGCATAGTGACAGAAAGCAGTCTATCCAGCTCCTATGTGACAGGTATCAAAAGGGGAAGGGTATAAAAGAACAGAAAGTGCCCCTACTTTCCAGAGTTACTCATCTCCTAACTGCAATCTTTTGGAAATTACAATAATAATAATAATAATAATAATAATAATAATAATAATAATAATAATAATGATGATGATGATGGTAATAATAATAACTATATTTATATAGTACTCATATCTTGAGCTCATGGTGCTTTACAATGTATAGACAACACCACCACACCATTCTAAAGTAGATAACATAATAATAATAATAATAATAATAATAATAATAATAATGATAATAATAATAATAATAATAATAATAATAGTGTAAAGTTAAGGTGCAAGACCACAGCAGAAAACTGTGTAAAACCAATCTTTCTCAACATGCATAAAAAAAGATCACAATCAGTCAAAAGTCAAAATTTAAGTATAAATTTTTTGTCAAAAAGACAACTGCAAGGACTGCAGAACAAACAACGTGAACAGATGGTTGATCAGTCCTTGCAGTTGTCTTGTTGACAATAATGGCTTGTTTCCGTTTATTCTCATTGCTGACCCTTTATAGCTTTGCGAGATTTTTGCAATAACGTATTTCTAGTAATAGTGATAATGATACTGTTAATTAAACTACCTTTATCTGAAGATGTAGCAATGGCACCAACAGTATCACAACACATGTGATATTTATTGCTACAGTTAGGATATTTTGACATCATCAAAGACACTGCTTGTTCTTGGATTTCTTGTTTCTCCAAGCCACTCAGTGAAAGTCCCTGAAAAAATGGAAGACAGACTTGATTTGCAAAGTCAGGTATAAGGCTCTTGACATATAATGATACCAGTATATTAGATAGTTAATATGACATAACTGTTTAGCCGGGTTGTACAAATGTGTATTTAAAACTTCTCGACAATCTCAAAAGAGTGGTGATGGCAAATAAGACTAAGTGAAGGGGCAGAGTAACAGCCATCACTCTCCAGAGCGGTTGAAAGATGTCATGATCGAAATAATTATGATAAAAATGATTCAGAACAATAAAGATGAAAAAACCTAGGTAAATCCACTACAGAATTTTTCCATTCATTTGGTTAAAAAAAGGGGAGTGGTATGCGTATGAGCAAATTCTTATTGTCATTAAGAATTTTTTTCTATCTAAGTCAATTTGACTAAACTTACCAGGGAAGCCAATGGTTTGTTGATATCAATACCTGCAGCCTTTTTAGCCTCTTCCACCATCTCATTGACTCTTCGTAAACATTCTTCTAAGCCAATCAGCTGTGCATGTGGTGACATAAGAAAATGATGTAGAGAAATATCTAGTGTGAGTTAATATGATTAAGTACTTTCTTCCCGAGGGAATACTGCCACTGTCCACTGTATATGGAATACTTTATTGCTAAAAAGTTATCCCCACTATCATTATTTTTTGCTGAGTGCCTTTCAATATTATAATCATACTGGCAGGAACAATGTTACCAGTTGGGTATACATTGGCAACTAAGGGTATAACCTATAACTAGCATCCTATCTGGCAAGTGTCAAAGGAATGTGTATAGGTCCTTGATTCGACTGAAACCTAGAAACAGAATTCAGGCTAGGGCCATATTGTGAAACTCTCAGATAGAACATAAATGTGTGGGAAGTCTCTTTTCAATGGAAACAACACAATGACAATGTGCCCATTTATACATTGAAATGGAGAAACACCCCCACAAGAGACAGGTGTCACTATAAAGAAATCAAAATTGTTTTGCAGGCAAAACAATTGGCTCGCAGATTTATCTTCACCACTAAGGAGAATCACTGTTCTGAAATGAATTCAAGCAAAATAGTTTCCATTACTAATTCTTGGCTTGAAGAATAACAACAGTCATTTTAGTCAATATTGTAGCACTCTCACTAACCAAACCCCCTACCTAGGACCACGTGACCCGAAAAGATTTGGCCGCTTGGAATAATGAGGCCTAGGGACTAGGCTACCCCCTACACTATCACCGATGACAACAACACCCCCTGAATCTAAAGCCAAAAGAGGAGCCCTTTTCAGGAATGTTTCTTATCTGAGGATATAACTCTATGGTAATGATAAAACATCCCGTAACTTAGTGTCACCAAACAAATTACCCAACAGCAAGGTGCAACTGACAACTGCTGTTCTTGTTACGTACCCAATGATTTGTGCCCTGTCCTGTACTACGGCCAACAATTTTTCCATCATTCGATAAAATTATGGCAGTTGAGCCTGTTCCACCACTAAAAATAGAATGAGTTTATTCAACAGCAGAATGAGCAAAAAAAACTGGGTATAAGGGGCTAATGGGTACTTAAAGTTAAACCCTAGAACCTAAAAACATGAAACATGAAACATGAACAAAACCAAGAACCTGGAAGTAATCACTGTACAAAGGTATTTGGCAGCAGACATCTTTCATGCCTTGACGACAGGTCAACCAGATATAATTTATTTAAAGCAGGGAGCGGTTGGTGGCTTGGAAAAAATATCTCGGGCATTATTTTTTTCTCAATCTTTTCAAAAAACCCTGACCACAGGTTAATTCTCCCTCTACTATTTTTTTAAGGTTCAACCCAACATATCTTATAACTTCTTGCATTAAATTTTCATAGAGTTTGACTAAACTGAATATCAGGTGTTAGCTGTTAATTTATCTGACTGTAAGATTTATCAGGGCTGTCACTTAGGGCCGACAAGTCGGGGATTTCCTGCAGCTACCATGAACATGATCCCCAGTTACTTTCATAGGAGACCAAAGGAAATAGAAATTACAAAAGAACTTTGTAGCTGTTAATTCCCGTCCTCTTATTGCCTACACCCGCCAACTTGAAATCTCAATGGGAGCTCTGTTTAAGCAACTGCCCCCTAATCCTATCACAAAATTTTCAAGATATTCATTTTGATTATGACATTAACCGGACTACCATGTGTTTGCCAGTGTTGCAAGTTTATCATATAAGCTTTTGAAGTTTCACAAGTTTCCAAACCTCAGCTGAAACCTTTTCGCCGGAAAGTGTTACCCATAACCTAGTATTTTAATTCTATTTTTTCCTAAGAAAAGGTGCCCTCCATAAAACCTGGTATAAGGCCTTTTCACGTTGTAGTGGTACAGTGACGGCAAATAAATGTATGTTTATCTTAATAACCTTTTGCTTTTTAGCCGTTCTTGTTGCCCGTCGCCGTCGTGGTAGCTAAAGCTCCCTCACGGTCATATCAAAGGGAAGTAGCGTTGCGTTATTTCTTCTTCTTCGAGAAGGAAAATTAAATTGAAAATTAAGTAAATCATGATTCTTCTTACCCTTCGATACCACCATAGAACAAGTCGCTCAAGGAGGCCGCCATCTTGGAGATTACCCGAAGAACTGTCACGCGACAGAGCCACGTAAACCGTCACGCCATAGCAAAATCAAGTTTTTATCATGCAGAGAGGTCTAGAGAGGATAAATATCCTCTCTTGGTTTTTATATATTATTCGAACTGCAGCATGTTGGCGCTGGGTTATGTCGGTAGATATATGAACAAAGGAAACGTTTAGAATACTCCCAGAGACTATGACGATATACGTTTGCATGAATTTCTTTATCAAAGTGGACCAATTGATCATAGTACCTTAAAAACAGATTGCAACTCAAATTTGAAGAAATCAGATGAGTAAAAAAAGCTCTATACAAACAAAACGAAAGAGAAAACAATACTGTACTAGGAAACTAATCAAATATTAAAGTTCGTCAAGTCACGTTTTTTAATGTAAAAATCGAAAATTTGTGGGTGACAATATTCGAGGCAATCTTTAGCATTTCCGGTGTCTGGCATGTTGGGTGGTGGAATTTAGTTCCAAGTGTCCGTTTAATACAGGTTGGAAACAATAGAAATGACCATTTCAGGTACTTTTTAGGTGTCCGCGTCCGCTTAATAGAGGTGTCCGCTTAATAAAGGTTTTATTTAAAGTAAATAAGGGAAATAGATTTGGGGACTTCGGCTACTGTCCGCTTAATAGAGGGTGTCCGCTTAATACGGTGTCCGCTTAATACAGGTTTCACTGTATAATTAAAAACGGTTACTGGAATACCTTCAGGCTCCAGAGTGTCCCTCGTGAGTGCTAGATCATGCTAGGTGAAGGGGCCATCCGAAAATTTATGAACTGGGGGATCAGTTTAATTACATTTTTTTTTTCATAGCCTGCAGTGCAGGCGTATTTTGGGTGGGCGAAAGCTTGTTAATCGGATCGCTACGGTGAAGCCGCCATCTTTGATTCTATGACAGAGGAAGATTGGGGAGAGTAGAAATAGTAACCCTTACGGTAGGTGTGAGGGCAAAAAAAGAAGAGGGGGGAGGGGGAGGGGAGGGAAAAAATTACTGAATTGACACGGACGGTTTTGGATTTTCTCCATGCTGGACTGGCTTTGTCCGGCGTGTCGAGAGTACGTTTGCTGCTCTTAACTGGGGTACTTTCCGTGGATGTTATTGCACGGCTAATTAACTGGTACAGCTGGCCCAAGTTGCGAATTTTTCGGCCACATGGATTACAGACCCGATCCGAATACTGCCTGGAATCTTGTACCAGCGGTAAGCCAACTTCTTTGCAAATTTCGGCCAACACAACCCCGAAGCACTCCTTTCGTTTTGATGGCCTGAATAAATTTTCTGATGAAGAATAGCCTTGTTTTCCAACACTGCTTCCAAATTTAACTTTGAACGAAATCTTACACAACCTACAATAATCACTAACACTCGAATCAGACGACATTACTCTCCTTCCCGTAAAAAAGCATGCTAGCTTGTACACTACACATGTGTTTGTTATTATTTTATCGGAAGTGAAGTGGGTTTCCGGTGCAATAGTTCTTCGGTTTTGATTGGTCGGCTACTTACTTCCGGAAGAGCGGTCACGCGCGTCTAATTAGGGGGTGTTTCTCATTTTCACAGTGTTTTCGGGCAGGCGTTTTCTCTTCTTTCTCCCGCCCCCTCCCCCGCTCCCCTTGACTCGCCCCATTTCCTCCTCTCTTCGGGAGTTTCAACATGGCGGTTTCGCGATTAAAACCATTCGCGCGCGCCCGATGAAAACGCCTGCATTGCAGGCTATTTTTTTCATTGAAATGAGATACTAAAACAAAGTGAAGGTAAAAAATATCTCAATTAAAAATCTAAATTCAAAAATTTCTAAAGAATTACAATAAATCGTAGTC